TATCAAATCAGTTCGTCGCTTTGCTCTAGTCGCCCAACCAACTTACTTCCCGACTGCGTCACGGACTGTCCGCTTCCTTCAGAAACTTTCTGGCCGACAGAAAAGTTGCATCTCGTTGGTTGGACTCCGTGCATTCGTTCTGGCCGAAGATCGCTATCCACTATCCGCCGATAGCATTTATGAGCAATGAAAAGCGAAACGATGACGGCGGCTCGATGATGGCGCGTGGTATTGTTTTGCTCGCCAAGAACTTGCGCGACCAACAATGGAATGGCCAGCGCGCTTTAATGTCTCCCTCAACGATCCCCGAGCGCTGCCACAGATTCTACCGCAGCCCGAGAAATAGGCTGCCTCCCTTTTGTTTAGGAAAGCAACTACTCGCTGAGTAGTCATTCGCGAGCCGTGCGTAGTTTCCTCTTTTCTTCGGACTCGCCACAATTCAATCTTAAAGGCAGCTCTTCTACTGCGACATGAATCGATTTTCCTAACAATTTCTACACTGATGATAGATTCGCGTCTCTCTTTCATCCCGCGTTTCGTCTCTTTATTTAGTTTATTTTACAGTCCTTCTAATTAACATGTTATAAACACACTGACAAGTAAACCTACGGAGGTGTCACTCACCGATTTTAATGAAACTTTGCATATTTGTAGAACTTTGAAAAATATTTGACTCGTATTTTTTTTTTATCTGCAATGGTCCACTCTGAAGGGTGAAAACTACCCCTTAAAGATAAGGAATAGATTTAACATATTAGGTGAAATAAGTTGAAAATTTTAAAAAGTAAAATGTGTTAGGGGGCTTTTGGGGTTTCTGAAACTAAATCTTATGTCAAAAGTATGAAATTCAAAATGGCGGACCCAATATGGCGTCCATATACATTAAAATTTTTATTAGTTTTTATCAAAATGAGTAAATTTTAAGAATTCTTGTCATCACAGAATTAAAATTTCCGATTTTTGGGTCGATAATTTTAAATATGGTATTAAAGATATAAAATTCAAAATGGCGGTCTCAATATGGCAGCTATATACGTTAAAATTTATAATTTTTGCAAAAAATGTATTGATACAAGGTCTTTACTTTTCAAGATGCTTTTTTACAGTGAGTCCCCTTGCCTCTCACCTTTCGGGGTACAACTTTTTTTCAACTTTGTTGAAAAAACGTAAACATCAGATCGCTCCTATCTACAGTGTACGTATGCGTCAGTGAAAACGGAAAACGTTTGTGTACGCCCGTCGCGTCTACTCATGATTGCACGTGGCACGTAGAGAAAACTTTAAATTTCATATTTTTGACATAAGATTTAGTTTCAGCGACCCCAAAAACCCTTTAACCCATTTTACTTTTTAAAATTTTCAACTTTTTTTTATTTCATATTATACGAGATAAGTAATATATCTGGACGATATATTGGATCGGCCATTTTGAATTTCATACTTTTGACATAAGATTCAGTTTCCGCGACACCAAAAACTTCCTAATACGTTTTACTTTTTAAAATTTTCAACTTAATTCACCTAATATGTTAAATATATCCCTTACCTTTAAGGAGTAGTTTTCACCCTTCAGAGTGGACCATTGCAGATAAAAGAAAATACGTGTCAAATATTTTTCAAAGTTCTACAAATATGCAGTTTCATTAAAATCGGTGAGTAACACCTCCGTAGGTTTACTTGTGAGTCTTTTTTGACTCGGGTAAAATTTCTGAAATTTTTTGGCACAAATTTCAATGTTTATTCAATAAAGGTTTTAATATTTGAGTTAAATAAATATTTGGCAATGTAACAGAGATGTTGAAAAGTAATTATGAATTTTTTTAGATTTTTTTGAAAGCTTAGGACACGGTAAAAAAAATTTGGACTGGATAAAAAATTCACTGTGCCTATGGAGTAAATAAAAATGTGTGCCTATACAAAGGGATAAAATTTCTGATTATTTTTAATCAGACTATTGCTTGCATTTTTCCATTGACTTCGATTCCATTGTTTCCTCATGTTAATTTTGTAAAAAATGTGTGTGTGTGTGTGTGTGTTGTGTTTTATACGTTAATTGCACAAAAGACGAATACTCTAAACATTATATGAAATATTATTAAACATTTAATCATAATATTCAGAATTCGAGTTTTGATTGTTTCCAACCGCGACCTTAAGACTAGAAATTATTCGCGGCCGCGATTCAATCTTATCGAAAAAGGATAATTCCAAAGTGTAATCTAAATCAATCTGATTATCTATCGCGTGCCAAGGCAACCTTCGCGATGTTCTTCGGCTATTGCACAAAGCATTGTTAAAATCGTCGGCGTGTGTGTACACGGATGAGAAGTCTCACTTCAATTCTCATCGAGGTGGATATTTAATGTCGTTAATCATTAATATTATTTCCTTGCAATCTCGGTGATATAACTTGACATGAATGTATGAGAGAATGGAAATATCGATTTTGCTGTCTCTAATGCTATTATGTGAGCGGGGTGCGCCACATCCGTATTATATCGTGTAGCAATTAACAAGAATATGTTTCATTTTATTATTAAAATATGTTTATTATTAACCCCTTTAAAAACTCCTCTCGTCATTTTTTGTTCCTCACTTGCCATGATGAGGTCATTCACGTTTTACGTTTCTAAAGGGTTACGTCATAATAAGATATTTTTCAATCGCAATTTTATTTAGTTTCAATCTTCTACGATTAAAACGAAATGACAATAACAATTGGTGAAACTATGTAATTTTTTGGCACGTACCGTAAAAGTAGGTGACTCGGGATAGTGTAGGTAACTTGGGACAGCATGTATTTTTGTTAAATTTAATCGTGGTATCCATCCATGAATCTCTAAAGAAAGTTTAAGTTTTAAACTTCCTTTAGAGAATGGACATTTCTTTTATTTCCGACAAAATACATTGACAGAAAATATGTAACCAGATATCATAAGCACGGTATGTATATGATGACGGTAGGCTTATGACAAAGTGGACAAATTTCTTTATATTGCTGCGCTACATTTGGCACCTTTGGTGATGGTGGAGCTGAAAGACTCATAATATCCATGTCATAATTTCCTGATTCCACCAAGAAAGAAATTGTAAGAACAAAAGCTCCAAGTTCAAGAGATCTAGTAATGATTCTTTGAAATATAATTATGAAATATAATTATGAAATATAATTATATAACACGAGAGTTTGGTATTTTATAAAAAGAATTGAAAGTCCTTTAACGACACAAAGAAAAACTATTGCCTCCTCTTTTTTGATAGATTTAACAAAAATACATGTCCCAAGTTACCTACACTGTTCCAAGTCACCTGCATTTGCGGTACTTTATCGGCGTACGCGATGCGCGAAATTTTGCTTAGACCCGAATTATCCACGAGGGGGAGTTAAAATTTGTTAATAAAGGACATGCAATAAATAACGTAATAAACAGTAAAGGTACGGCAAAAATACTACAAAAAAATGTGACTGAAAAAGGTACTTTTGCAAAGATCGCTAATAACAATTAGATACAAGGCGGCAATTAAACAATATCGAAAATAACATAATTTTAAAATTGAAAATTCAAATTAAATATTCAAGAGTCTTCTTGATCTTCGCTGACCGAGAAGAGTCATGAACTTCGTGAAAATTCCCTCGATGTTTGAGCAAACATTTTTCTCCCAACTGTCGAAGATTCCAGGTCAGCGAGTCAAGTTGCCTCGAAAATTCGCCCACCCTCAACATACAAGAAAGACACGTGGACACGATGGATGGAATGATTAAATCCAAAAGTGACTTTGTCTGAGCGATCCGACTAATTGAGTTGGACAGGTAAAATGATATGATGGACAAAAATATAAACGTCAGCGGTTGAAAAAACGAGGCAAAAGAGGTGTATTTTATACATGCTTATTATATTATATTCCATAAAAAGTAAAGACAACAAAACTTATTTTGTCCTGGTTGAAAATACGAAAATCTAGGTCACTAAACAGAAAGATAAGTTCTGAAATCTACTGTACTAACAACAACATGGTTACAATTGTCTTTATTCTTAGAAAGTAAATTAATATTGAATTCTCTAGTTTTTAAATAAAATTTTTTATATTGCTACGAATCTTTTTAATATTCACATTATCTATATGTATATGATCTCCGCGACAACAACTGCAAAATATGCTCAATAAATGGAAAACAAGATTATGAATCAGTATCGTTAAAGGGATGTATAATTTAGCTCGACTTTAAGAATACATTATTATAATAGAAAAATTATAATTACTACACGGAAAATATATAGGTTAGAAAATATACAGGTTAGGACATTAATCTCGTGAAACATAGAACATTTTCTTTATTCTTCAAAAAAGTTCTTTTTATTTGTTGCTAGATGCGAAACGATACATATAAATTTACTTTGACATCTTTATAAAACGATATAAAATACAGAGGAAAGGCACGTTTTAAGAAATGCCGTTATATGTAGGAGAGTTTCGTATATATTTTAATATATTTTTTATAAATTTTGACTAACATATTCGTGCATAACATTTACCCGGAAATACGGCACGAGCGAACTTCCTTCGCTCTGATTGATAAACAAGTCAAGAATTATTAAATTAATTGCAATTAATATTTGGCACTAAATAGTAACAGGAACTTTTGCAAATATTATATACAAGCAAAAAAAATGTCTTTGGTAGAGATTTGCCATCGAGATCAATGAAATGAACGTGAAGATAAATTTAATAACGTACACTGGCATATATTAGATAATTATCTCTTTCATATAAATTTAGGTCAGTTCTATATGATTAAATTCAATCTATCTAAATATATTGATGGCGTTTATGAAAAATATTATAATTGCAAAACTTCTTGAATTTATTTGTATAATACTTAGTTACCTTTCTAAAAATTATAAGAATCCAGAACTATATTCAAGTTTATCGACATAAAGTTTTCTTTTTTTCTCAAACAATATATTTTTATACACACTCTCATATTATATTTGTTTTTTAACTACTGATAAAAAATAAAACATTTACATTGCTTCAAAATTTACTTATAATATTTTCCATTACTATTGTCGATATTTTCAAGATTTGATCAAGGCAAAGTATCTTAGAACAGTCACCCTTACCTTTAATGATAAGCACTTCGATGCCATTAATATTTAAGAGGCACGCTGAGTACTTCTTTCGTCGAATCAAAATCAAGTCTGAATAAATTCAAAATAAGTCTTCGATTTTTCTCGGTTTACGCCGATTCTTTCTTGTGTCATAAATCTGGTCCTCAATTCTTGAAAAGTATCGCATATGAAAATACTAAAGAAATCTATAATATTTTCGTACATTTTCGTATGCGATAGTGTTCAAGAATACGGCCCCTGGCGTACAGCGCAAACGAGTTTGTAGCCGTGAGGGCGATTTTCTTTTTTAGTGAGTCTGATCAGTGTGCCCACCCGAAGCATTCGCCCCAAAATTTGTCCATTGTGTGATAAAGGTGAGGGTACACGTTTGCAAGAGAGTGCGCTTCATCCGTGTACGTGACCTGTTCGAACAGGATGTCTTTATACTCCAACGACTTGGCAAACGCCAACGTCTGCTGCTGGTGCACGTTGTCGTCCCCGGTACCATGTATCAGCATGTACTTTTTGCCGCGTATTCCTTCCGATCGTCGTGAAATATCCGTGCGATTGTAACCATCAAGGTTGTCCTCCGGAGTCGGCAGACCCATTAATCGTTCCGTATAGATGGAATCTGTAAATCGGGTAGCGATCTTTGAGATAATGTTGCTGAAGCTCGAGGTTCGAATTAAAAATACATCGAGATTATTTGAAATCATCGTAGGATAAGGCAGGGCTATTCTATCAATTTTTACTTTAAAGTAGAATGAAAATTTACGATAACAAACGATATCTATCATCTTTTTGTAGTGACATGCTTACAACTACATTGTACAATCATGATTGTTCCTTGAGAGTATGAGCACAAATCTTTAAACATTCGATATGTACATACTGTTCAGAAACATAAACATTATTGCGAGAAATGAATGATAAAGCTGCTCTACCCTAGGATCAAAATTAATGCTAAACAAAATCAAAAAAATTCCCAATCTCTTCTTTTCAGTTACCGTAATAAATCCAGGAAGTTACGGGCGCGACGGATATACCGCATTTGAAGATAAAGTTGGTATCTTGGGCCATCACCATACCAGTAGTGAAACCACCATAGCTCCAACCCCATATACCAGTCCTGTTCGCGTCGATCCAACTGTACCGCTTGTGCAGAATTCTATGGGAAAGAACGGTTTCATTTTCAGAGCGACATTCACTGCCGGAAACGAAGCAATTTTTGATCAGTTTCGCATTACTCACTCGGTGACAGCGATCGTATCTTCAATTTCTACGGTACCCAACTTCCGGTATATCTCAAAAAGCATGTTGCTGCCTTTAAAGGCCGATCCTCGTCCATCGATCCACGCGTGAACTATGCTTCGGTTGGTCGTCAGATAATGCTCGTATCCGTACTTGGCGTCATCGACGATCCTGGCCGTGTTCGGACCACCGTAGCTGCGGGTTTTACAAGATGTTTAACAAAAATAAAGACTCAAATCGAAGAATAGCTTTCAATTTTCATCTCTCTCAGCGTTACGCGGTGTTCGATTTTATACATCTCCGAGCTACAAATGGGTAGCATGAATTTCTAAATAAATGGAGCGCTCGATACGTCGCAAATGCTTCTTAAAAAAGAAGGGAAAAGTGAGCGAGGGTTATTAAAGGTAATCGATCGTTTCAAAAGCCTCGGCATGAATCGGCAAACAGACTCGATCCAATTTTAAATGGAGATTGCAATCCTTTTGCGTGCTGACCAATCATAGCGTACACCGATTTTAATTGCGGTGTAACCGCTATTAATGATATATACGGTAAACATTAATACTCGGTGCTAGCCAGATATTTAAAAATGTATATATAATATATATATAATTAATACATTAATAAAAATAAAGTTAATGTTTCTTTAAAAATATGCAATTAGACTTGTGATAAAGTAGTAGAAAACTATGGCTTTAATTTTATTTAAACTTATGTGCAAAATAAAAAGGTTCTATTAAGCAAAATGTGTGTGTTGCTTTCGTTAAAGCTGTTATTTTATTATGCAACATTAAAATTTGTTTTAAAATTTTTTTTAATCTGTGCACGATACTGTCATAAAAATATTCGTACGCTGCATTCGTCTTCGAATCAAGCACGAAAAATATAATGGCCAATATGGAAATATGTATACCTTATAATAAAATTGATTTGTCGAATATACTTATCGTTAAATTTTATTTGTATTTTTGTATAAGTTTCATTTTTTATATTCTTATCTTTGTAATAAAAAAAATCTTGTTACTAAGCGTAAAAACATAAATTTTCTTTTATGACGTATCATGCAAAAAAATGGCTGATATTTTTACGTCGTCAAATTTGTTACTTATTATATCAGAAGGACTTGAGTACTTACACGTATACCATCATGGGGTACAACTTGCTTTCGTCGAAATCTGGCGGCAAGAGTAATCTGACTTTACAGTCATAACCATTCACGGTAATATTGAAATTTCTTTGTTGCGGCATTAACCGCCGCGATAAAAGTGTCCTCGTTGCTTGATTAGTATTCCAGGTTAAGACTGGCTGATGATTATTGTCATTAATCGTCACCGTAGCCGGATCAGGCCCGGAACATGTGAAAGCGTAATACGACCTCGAGCTTGAAAAAGATGCGGTAGCGTACGTACATTTGTTTCCTGCAACATTTAAATTCGTGGGAATTTTTCTGTAGAGAGAACTTTTTCATTTTCTTGTTCTACGTAACGAAATATTCATTCCTACCGTTTCAATTCTCTCCAAATTGAATTTGGCAAATTCAAGGTTGCTCTCGCGCATAGTTATTCCCGCTTTCATTTTCGAATATACAATTCGGATATATATATATATTTAAGTTAATATTGAAACGTTCATAATTCTACCTACCAACGCACAACGTGGCGTACATTGCTAACTTTCCATCGAAGGAAGCTGGAGGCATAAATTTCAACACTTTCTACTTTTCGCCGATCGAAATAAATTTCAGCAAACATCGTATTTTAACGGATATACGGCATATCGGTCGAGCTACAGGCCTCTCATAGACGTTGAGTTTTCTCGCAGGCGCAAATAGTCCGGCGAATTAATCTTCTTTATGCAATAGCGCTCCGGTCTGATAGACGCAGCTGTCGCCGATAGCCGGAAAAACTTGCGCGAAAAGTAATATTTCAGTCTTGCCTCTTTTACGTCACAAGACGTCTCGCGCAAGAATTAAGGGCCGAATCTTTTGGAATCTACTCGCGTAGCGGAGGAGATAAGTTCATGCAAAAATAAGTTCGCGCGTCGGGTCCATGTGGGAGGAGAATTCGGAAATTTTTACCTGAATTCGCGCAACTTTCGGCGCGTTGCAGAGATATGCGAGGGAAAATTGCGGCGATGTTCTACGGGGGTGAAGTTTCCGTAGATTACATCGTATCATCGCTTCGCGTAGATCTTTCCCGCGAGTCTGCCAACCCCCTTACATATACACACATACACATACATGCTAAATATTCATGAACGCGACTTGCGGCTTTCGTCAGATGAGATTACTCCCGATGGACTTTCCGTTTTAATTGGAACGTGTACCTATCGCCCGAACAAGTTACAAATGCTGTCGACGATGAGTCCTGAAATTTCTCCTTCGTCACTTATGGAACCCCGCTTAAGCATCTCCCGAGTTTCTTGTTCGACGGTCGGACGAGAATCTAAGTAAAACGAATGATCAGCCATTAAGGACTATGAAGGTTTCATGCTTCTTGCGTAAAATATTTTCCCCACGAGAGACGCTGTAAATAGAATATTCTGACGACGCTGAGCGTTCTCGTGAGTTAGACCCATCACGTTCGTGCATGAACGTGAAGTTTATCTAAATTGATGAAAAATGCCAAATGTTACTCCTCCTTCCCCTGCCCCCGCCCCTCTCTCTCTCTCTCTCTCTCTCTCTCTCTGACTTGATCGTTCGCTCTATTTTCACTCATATTCGTGATTTCGAGGACTCACCTTCCGGCGTGAGCAACTTGCAGGATATGCAAGTTGGTTTTTGGCTTCCATCCAGAGGTACCAAATACAAATTCCTCTGCGACGGTTCACCCGGCGCCGTGGCGAGATAGTAAACTTTGCCTCTGGGCGAATCGACTGCCAAGATCGCATGAACTTCGGAGGGACCGGGCGTTAGATCCAACGGCATAATAAACTGACCATCCTTATATTCATACCTAATGGCATGAACGAAATGGCATGAATAAAATTACGAAAAGAAGGTAGCAAACTTTAAAACATTTTGGACATTCTGAGATCACGATGTCAAACACTTTTCTTAACTACGGGATTGCGCCGGAAAAAAACTTAATTTTGCGATTTATTCAGAATTCAAAAGTAAAAACTCTCGGGATATTCTTAGAGAGAATCGTAATTTTCTTTCTGAATTTATATTTATTTATTTTTGAATAAATATATCTTTATATCTCATTACAAAGATAGAAAGAATTCGATTCTAGAACGCTCAGTAAATAACGATATCTGTCTATCTATAAATATATCTTTATATTATTTATTTATAAATATATCTTTATTTCTCACGAATACACATTTGTATAGCTTTTACTCACCTGTTTATATGTCGGAATCTGCCGGCGCTGGTACCAGAAGGCTCCCGGCGTAAAAGCAATATGTAATCACGAGTTCTTATAGGAAGATTCGGTTGAAGCCAGCCCTCAGTCTCCTCGTCGGACAAAACCAATTTGGCATCACCTTGTATGTCGTACATGGTCATCTGGGATTGGTTCTGTACGCGATTTGTCCATGTCGCTAGTACGTGTGTTTTGTTCCACCAGCTCACGATGTACAAAATGTTGTCACTGCGAATGCGAATACGCAATATGTTAAACATGATCGTAAAATCGTTCGAAGATAGTTATCAAAATATTTGTTGTTAGCAAAAGTAACTTGCCTTGTCACTTTATTAATAGGTGCTTCCAAAATAATTGGTTCTGACGATGGATCGAATAAATCGATCACCGACAGAGATACTACCGGGTTTGGTGTACCTGCCTAAAATGATGATATTTTTTCATTTATATAAATGATATTGTAGATAAGTGCAAGTTATACGATATCATAAAACTTTAGGGATAATATTTTTATAATATTATGTATTGGGATAAAAAAAGAAATAGTGATACTTCTATGTTAAAAAAAAATATAGGATAATTCTTCTTAGAAAACAGTTTCTTTGAATAAAAATCTACTTTAAAATCAAATACTTAATCATATTTTTTATTATTATTGATAATATTAATTTTATTTAACGTATCAATAAAAACATGTTTAAAAGATTTAATATTTTATTCCAAAAATAATAGAAAATAATTAAAGTTTCCGAAAAGTTTGTAAATATTAATTGTCAAATACAGTTAAAATGTATTTTGACACGTATCAATATCGATTACTGTAATTTGCGAGAAAAAATTAACTTAATTTTTAAAATATTTGAGAAGATATTTTATATGCTTTTAGAAGATCTCAAGTGAAATTGAAAAAGAATTTTTCAACTCCGTACATGATCTCAGAGTTGAAGTTTTTTTTGTCAATTTTTCACATCCGACTTTCAAATGGTACCGCATGGTGCAAAAGCATCACCGAGGAAAAAGCTTGAAAGGATTTGAAAGCTGAGATTTTGGGCTTTAAAATATTTCTTTGAGAACATTACTTTACCACTGTATCTTTCAAAAAAATATATAAATGTGTATCATTTTTGTCATCAATTAAAAAAGGTGTAAATAGGATATTTAAATATATATGAAATTAATCACTTAAATAATTTCAATTTGATTAATTCGAAAAGTTAATTGATTATAATAAATAAAGATTTGCTTGTCGCTTTTGAGAAATAGGGACCTGACATAGAAGTATTATAGAAATGATTCGCGGACTTTTTTCACGGGAAATTGCTTCTGCCAGCGCACTTCGACAATTGGATTATCCGCACGTGCCGACACATGCACGCGGAAAATGGATCTATGATAGAATAAGCTCAAGTTAAACGGAAGAACGACGGTCCTTTCAATTCGTTACGGCAATAGCCGATTCCATCCAGTGGAGATGATTAGCCGAGTTTTCTATGGTGACTTACCAGTATTATCATGTCGGAACAATTCGAAAAATTTTAGTAACATTGCTGCATTGTTAATGAAATATTACTAATAATTTTCAATACTAATATTGTTAATGAAATATTACTACTAATTTTCAATAATCAAAACTAAATAGTTGATAAGTTTATTGCATAAACAGAAAGGAGAAAGACATTTAAAAGATACTATCGATTTTAGAAATAGATTTTAAAAAATTCAGAAATATATATTCGGAAATATCAATTTCGTTCTTCAGACAAATTTATATTGAATATGTAAATTTGGAAAAGCTTTTTGAAGTAGAATCTCACCTTGGGATACTTTATCTTCACTTCCGTAGGATATTGGTCTTCGAGAGAACCAGGAGTGCCGTAATGAAAATATGCCATGTCCTTTACTGCAGTATCGTTGAAGGTTGCAAAGGCCAAATGTTGGCCATCCGGTGAAAACCACATCGCAGTCGCAGATCCAAATACTTCCTCTGTAATCAATATTCACAACTATGCTTGTCATTTTTAATTATCCGTCACAGACGCGATATACTTTGTAATGCACAAATTTTTCTTCAAAATGAATATTTTTTTTTTATGTTATATACATATATATTTTTTATGTAATATAAAATATATAATGTAAAATATTTTATAATATATTCATATATTATAAAATATTTTTAATAAATATGTATTAAAATATTGTATATAAAAAATATGAAATATAAAAATATAAAATATAAAATATAAAAATTAAATATAAACTATATAATAAAAAATATTTTTTGTATAATAAATAATATTTATTTACGTTTATACAAAAAGATAGATTTACCTTCGTATACCCAATCCGGAATTCCATTGAAAACTGTGTTGGCTTCGCCGCTTGTTGTCAATCTTCGTACTCCATTCGACTTATAATCGAAAGTTATAAGATAAATATCGTTATCAAGAACATAAACCAAGTCACTGCCGATGGACGACCATAACGCCAGCGAGATCATAGTTCCATTCGCGATCTCTTCAAATGTACTGCAAATGTTTAGGAAAAATTGTATTAAAAGTATTTTCTTAAAATAGAAAAAGAAAGTTTGTTTATAAATGTATTCATATAAATATAGATATACACGAATTTTTTATGTCAATTATGACTGAGATAACGACTCAGCTGAAGATAATAATGAAACACAAACGAAAAAATCTAATAGATAGATTCAATGAAATTATTGTAAAAAAGGAAATATTATATTATGTATTTGAAGCACTTGTATGTACAATAAATGAAATGTTCATTAAAATAATAAACAAACGGAATTTCTAAGAAAAACAAATAAAAAGTTTTCTGAAACTAATAAGAAATAGTTGTAATTAAATAACTTGATCTTATATGCCTTTGAAACCTATCACAAAGTGATGACCCAATTACATTAACGTTTATTGTCTCATTTGGAAATCTAAACGTTAGAAATTCTCTGTGTAGGCCACGCGTAGTTTCGCAATCAAGCTTATCAAGGAATAGTTAATATTATCAACGGCAATACATGCAAGCTATAAAAATATAAACGAATAAACTTACCCGTTCTGGATGTTATATACCACACAATTTTGGACGGTCGAGTGTCTGTACACCTGCGCAACTCCATTTATTTTAGTTCTCATTATATTTCAACGAGCGAAAGGATATTAAACAATTAATCACTTACATGGTTAACATTGTAACAAAAGAGAATATACTGCTTGTCAGCCGAAATAGTTGTTGTACTGAATTTGTATGGTAGCTAAAACAATTTTAACATTGAGTTTTAAGAAAAATGTTTGTTATTTAATTTAAACGTTTTATAGGAATTTATTTTGAGAAAAACTTATTAAAATAAATAATTATCTTAGAACAAATTGTTTTGAACAATTCATTCAAAGTATTGACAAACTGAAATATTTAATTATAGATGACATTGAGATAACTAGTAAAGAATATTTTATTTAACTTCCGTTGCAGTCACGGATGTTTATAAACTCATAATATCACTCTGATAACAAAATATCAATTACAAATTGAAATCTTAAAGATTAAATTGTATAGTAAAGCATAAAATATCCTTACTGGTAAATCTGTTCCATTAAAAATCTGTTTAGTTTCTCCTGTTTTTACATTGGTAATAGCAATATCGCCTGTAATCATGCTCCCAACTATAAATTCATTGTCAGAAATCCACGAGCCATTGAAGCCGGACAACACGTAATTGTTATAAAGATATGTCTCTTCCAAGGAGAACGGTTTCCTGAGTTCAATTTCATCCTTGTTGCGAATATCGGTGTCGTTATTTGGAACTATATAAATAGATTCAACATTTAAAATACAATATACGTAAGATTTATTGAATTCGTTCCCCGATATCTACATTTCCATGAGTAACGATCAAACTGCATATTTGCCAAGCATTAGTTACGCTAATAATTACGCGAGGTATTAAATCAATTGACCTACCTGTTCGTGACTGACCGATGACGATCACGAAGGCAAATAGTATTAGAAGTTGAAGAGGCTGAAAGAATTCGGATTGCCAGGATATGCCATGAAATTCGTGTCGGATTTTTCGTCCCTCTATTACGATTACATATACATGAATTCAATGAATGAACAGAACTTACAAAAAAATCACACAAAAAATTTAGAAAATGAAATTACAGGGTATTATCGTTCCAATTTTCAACTGCGCTGGTAACTGAACGGGCGAATTCTGAACTTATTAGGTCTGCGGTAACCGCGAAAAGCTTTGTTGCATTTTACAAATCGTTAGCATTTTTTTCAGTCAATGAACATTATTTTTACAAAGAAAAAATATAATTTTTATGTCCCTTCGCTCTTTAAAATTGAAACATCAGTCATGGATAAAAGATAAAGAGTAATCTTGTTAATCATCAATGAACGGAAGTCAACCGAAACGGAGTCAACCTGGAAAAAATTCAATTCTCTCCGACGCTAGCAAGAAGCCGTCGATATTTCTATTTAATTGGAAATTAGCATTTATCTATTTGTTCTATGGATTATAGTCTTACTTTAATACGAATTAAAAAAGAAGTTAAGATTAATCGAGATTGGAGTCAGTCAATATTGACGCAACAGATCCGCAGTGAATCGAAATTGGTGACAATCCCGATATCGGAAGAATTGAACCTAAAAATAACTTATTGCTACGAGTTTAATACCTCGGGCGTATCACCGTGTATATTCTACGACGAAGAAAAGGGACGCGAGAAGAGGGCTTAGGTGGAAGGCGATAAATCGAGACAGTTCGGACCCTCGAAACTTTTCCATCGATGGCGCGCATCTGACGAAAAGTGCTCTCACGGACTTATCGATTCGATATGTCAGGACATTGTGCCTGTCCCATGAGTGAAATCGAAACAGAAGTAAGTCGGATAAAAGCTCTTCTACAGTAATGGTAGATCGCGAGTTCCACGATAGGTCGATACTTATTTTCGCGATCGCTTCTCTTAAAGGCATCGCGGAAGGAGAAAAAGAATGGATTGGGGAACAAGTGGTGCAAAAAGTAGGGTATTGGAAACATATCTCTCTTTCCTTTTCACTTCTCAGAAATATTCGCTTTGTAGCGATATAAGAATTTAAAAATATTATTACTTAAAATCAGATAACAAATTCTTCTCTTTATGATTTGATCGAAGAAGCCCGAGGGGGTTATCGGGAATTAACAACAGGTTTGAGGGATGAAATCGGTTTCTCGCCGTTCGCGAATGTCGCAAAATGTTTGGAAGAGGAAAAGGAAAGGGAGCGGTGGATTCATCATGATGCCGGATAACGTACCGTGTGTCTTGCCATGATGATCATCGATCGATCTACGAATCGTGGACTCCGGATGGTGATGATCGAGGAAATCGCTGCTGACGCGACCGCCGATCTCGCGAGTGCGCTCGATGGAGACTAATATATCGCGTGCTTCTTGGCGTACTCGCGGCAACAGCGGCACGTGCTCCCACCTCTTTCGACAAATCAGGGACATACCCACGCGTGGGCAAGTATCTTCCGTTTGTGTTTCTACCTTGGACTTAATCGTGCTCTAATATTTGCTGATACTGATAAGGTGATCTTCTTCTTACATAAAGTCAGATTTGTTGATCGCGAAAAAATGACTTTTTTTCTATCTACCAAATCCGAGGAAATCCGTAGATGTCATTGAATAAGCATTGTCATCTTTCAAAGTTGTAATTTTACGCCAAAGAAAGAAGTTGATAGAAAAATGTGTGAAAATATAGAAAAGAATTACCGAAAATTAATTTAAAATATTATTATGTATGAGAATAATTATAATTCTAAATTGTATCGAAGAATAAATTTAATTAAGTAAGAGAAAACCTATTATTAGTCAAAGCATCTTAATGCTTAAATCTTTCAATATATTTTTCAATTTCTTTTTTTACATTTTCAAACGTTTTTTTAAGTTTTTTTCTTCAATACAAACTTGCAACTTTAAGACGTTATATATACATTTTGAGAGATAGAGGAAGGTTGCTGATACCATTGTACTACTTTATTTTTGTGTTATATTTCTTAAACAAAAGATAAAAATGAAACTATAGTAACATAAAAACAAACTAGAGTGTCTTCGAATGATATGGTAGTTTTTATATATGATACTGTTTATCATTTTACGATAATTAACTTTTTCGTAAAATAAGCAAAAACAAGCGTTTAATAAAATGGGCCCCAAAACTGATACAGTAGACAGTAATATCATATATTTCTGTTTTTTTTTACAGGAGTCATTTGTAAATATCTACAAGTGAATGTATATGAGAATTTTCAGAATCTTTTTGCTTCGATGTAAAGTGTTTTTTGTTGACTTGTATGCATACTTTATACTATTCAGCAAGAAGACGCAAGCAAACGCATAATCTTCATTATTTATTTATATTTATAGTTTTATTTATATTTTTCTCATAGTACAACAAATAATCTTATCGGAACTAAAAGTAATTCGATATTTACGAGAAGATATCCAAAAAACTGACGCGTTATGATAAGACTATTTGTCGTACTATGAGAAAAACTAGTAATACAGATTTAGGAAACTACAAATATGTAAAATGATGTAATATTATATACTTACTATTATTTAAACTATGCAATTTGCAAAAGAAAATCATAAGAATTTTATTTTCGCATTTGTGGAATTCGTTTTTATCTAATTTTATACAGAAACATATATATGAAGATTATGAGTTTTTATTTCTTTAATCAGCTTTTCTTTAATCTAACTAGATCATGTTTTTATCGGTAGGATTGATAAAGTACTATGTTTCTAAGAAATAAGATAGTGTCTCTAAAGAACTATATCAGTATCAGCGACTTTCGTCTATACTTAAACATGATCATGGATATTTTTATAAGAAAAAAGGTGATATTACCAATTATCGTATTTGTTTATTGTATATTTTGTTATAACTATAATATTATCATTGATAATTATTCATATCTATGTTTATATAACGTTTCTGAATCGCACTGTATAGAGAAGAGATGGTATCAGCGTTTTTGATAAGTTTCGTGCGTATGTATACGTAATAAACAATATTTTTTAATGCACGATTACGTGCCTTTTTTCCTGAAACGTCACGAATTAACGGGCTCGTCGTTACGAGTTACATCGATAAACTTAATAATGACACACCGTAAAATTGCACATCGTGACAGAAATTCAAAGGCAATACGGACGACAATGCGACGTACTGCACTAAATCTCAGCTGACTATTATTATTATCAAGGCCGCTGTTATTTGACTACACGCGCAATAAGAGACGATTATCTCCACACGGTCTCGTATGATAAGAAACTAATACATACGCTTGGTTAATGCAGCACCGAATATGTTTTTAAATAGATTAGAGAGTTGATCAATTTTATTAATCGAGATATTTTATTATTGTTTCTTTATCAAGCGGAAAGAAATTAATCAAATCGGAATTAACTCATCCGGTAGATTATTTTTCGAAAAGTTATGAGTTGATTAATTAAATAAAATACTGTCTTCAAAAGAAAGAAATTTACTGTCTTTTCTTAATTTAATAAATGAAGATGAAGAATGATAGGGGAGGACGTTTGTTGTGACGGCAGATGCATCTTTCGTTATAAGTGCTTGGCTGTCTAAAACTACTGTCAGCCATAAAGACAAAAAGTTGGTAACGATTTCCTCCTGTCGTGAAACATGTTTCGAAATATTGCATCGCGCCAGGCGTGCACCGTTTTCAATATTGTGACGATCGAAACGCACAAAGTACCAATGTCTGAGCGCGCACTCTTGGTTCCTTTTAACCTTTTTACGTAAAACCTTCTACAATAAAGACGTCGAACTATCGCACATTTTTCGCTTGTTGCAAAAAAAGACGATATCACTATCGAAAAAGAAATTCGTGACTTTTCAACCGTAGGCAATAACACCATCCGAAATAAAAATCAAAGAACTATCAATTCTTCGACGTCCCTTCTATTCTTGATTTTATCAATTGTTTCAAGCGATTTGCTCTCGCAGGATAGCTGAAGAAATCTCACATCACATCGTGCCTCTATCTTTCACAATGATTGCACTCCGACATCCGCAGTCACAAAATTCTTTTCTTTTTTTTTCACAAACGTTTTCTGCACTGTTAAATCAACACACGAATCTTTTGTTTGACACAATGCGTTTTATAGAGAATACGATCGTCACGATCGTAATTGACGTAGGGGAATCTCAAGCAGTGGTTATAGAGTAAAAAATTATCCGTCCTTTCTCGCGTAGCTTTATGCCGTCACATAGCGAGTGACACACTTTACGAGAGGAAGAATTGCCGTCATCATCGCCACTGTATGCGGCCACGTCCGTCTTTGTCGCACGTCATTTCGCACATGGATCATCATCGAATCCCTGGCTCGCAGCAATCAGCCAATCTGATCGTAAGGTCGCCTGCGCTCTCGCATCGCTCTGACGATTAGACGGAGACAAACGCTCGAAAAATCGCAATGCAGTGAAGATACATGAGGCGAAGTGGCGGATGAATGAGAATGGATACCAGGATTTATGTAGTCTTGGAAGACGCAAGATGCATCTTTAAGTTCGAACGAAGATTTTTCCACGCGAAAGAAACAGTTTTGCTGAAGTATCTAAAAATTTAGTAGATACAGATCTGAAAATAATTTTGTTCGACTATCAAAATATAATTATGCACACTGAAAAAAATACTAAATTTTAATAATTATTTGTTTGAGTGAGTTCTGAATAAATATTTACTAAATATAAACATATTTTATTTGATGCAAAAGCCATTAATTTGATTCAATTATTATTTTTTCATTGAGTAAATATTTACTGTAAATAAATATTTACTTAGCACTATTCAAAGAAATATGTTTTAAGATTTAATAAATTTTTTTAGTGTAAATTTTTCAAACTCAAACATGACGATCAATGCTGCAGAAAGTTTTAATGCTAGCAACCAACTTGAGCGTCCTACATTATTTTGAAGATTCAATAAAATTATTCAGATCTGTACCTAGCTAAATTTTTAAATATTTTAACAAAACCATTCTTTGCATATATTAAACCTATTCACTTTCTCTATATTCGCGTTCCTTTTTCCTACATTTATATGGAAAACAAAAAAAAATCGTACTGATAAACATCCGAAAACGATGACAATTTCTTTTTTCATCATTAACATTATCTTTATTGATAATTGCAGAAGCTTGAATCTTTTTCATCGAAGTCTTTTTATGATTCTTTGATCTATTATTGCTTTTGATAATATTTTTGAGACTTCCAGGGGTATTATTGCTTTTCTAAATACGAGGAAATACAGTGTAATTTATGATAAGTAAAATCTCTTCAATTGTGATTATTCACAATTAAGTTATAAGAAACAATTTTAGTTTTTTTTTTAAATTACATAAGAATGCTTGCTGTAGTATATTGGAGGTAGTCGCCATCTCGTCTTAATGACATGAAATGTAGAAATATTACGCGACCTAGGTTACCTACCGCTAAGTCTTACATTCGGTTTAGAGTGTTTACCGCATCTTGGAATTTTCTCTGGTGTTACTTGCCAACAGCTGTTAAAATGTGGTACGTTTACGAGAGAGATTCCGATGTGTTTTAGAATACTAGAGGACATTATCTTTTACTGCACGTAGATGAAATTACGCAAAAAGATGTTACATGAAGTTTTAATTCAGATAGAATTTAATAATAATTTTTGTAAGACATTTTTAAGCAAAGAGAGGATGTCAAATGAACATTTTCGTACTTATAGATAGCATCAGATTAGCATTATTAAAAAATAATTCCGGTTCTCTAAAACATGAAGATATTTAAAGTACCTCATGGAAAGAGAATGAATATAGAAAATATTAATAAATAAAGAAAATATTAATCTGCGAGGTAAAATTATCTTCATTTGTTTTTTTTATCACGAATCCTCTGAATGTTCATAAAAATAGATTGCATTTCGCAAATTTCGCAAACGTCAGCAGCGGGATGAAAAAGCAAAAAAGGAAGTGTCCGAAAACTCTCGGAACAACAATTTCTTGTGTCAGCCCTTCTTGGCGCGCAGCCCCGCGAAGAATATTTGCGACCCTTTCATGGGTGCGCTTACTATCGATCGGGGAGGATATAACGCGTACCAGTCGTCGTTGCCACGAGTCGAGGAATTGCTACGAGAGAGCAAGAGAGAAAGAGAGAGAGGAAGAGGGAGATAGGCAGGGTGCCACAAAGGCCACCCCTTTCGGACCAACGACTATAAGTACCGGTTGTGGTCGGTTCGCGCGGCTCATGTGCGCCCCGTGGTCCCGCCGGCGTGGTATCGCTTTCGCGTACGCGGAAACACCACTTGGACTAGGACGCCGAAGTCGTTTCGATCTATGAATAGATCCTGATCCGTTTCCAATCGCGTAACAGTCGTGATCGTCTGTTCGTCGTTCGATCGAGCCGAGGACCGTTGATTCGTCGACGAGAAGCTGACGGCGCGCAACAGCACGTGGAACCTCCAACGAAAAGGCGAACGATGACGGCGATCCTGCGGGATCGGCAAATGGTCCACGAGGAACCGTCGTAATGGCTGAACTCCTGCCGGCGGAGGACCCGAGTGATCGACCAGGGTAGACGTGATGTCACTCGGGGTCATCCAGGGAAGTCAATCGAAATGAGGAGGAGCAAATCGCGGGGAAGCGTCATCGAGGACATTTGCGGGTGCTCCGCTCTGTCGTCGATCATCCAAAAGAAAAATCTCAACTCCACCTCAGGTAAGACTAGCAAACAAATTTACGAAGTAGTTAGTTGAACCTGAAAGATAAAACCGCTTTTTCGCGATAACATGTATCATTAAATGTGAGATTTCTATGAAATTCCTAAACATCCCTTATGTGTCCGATGCCTTTCTTATCAACGTCGTGTGACAGGTTCTTCTTCGATTACAACAATCAAGGTAATTATCCGAAATATATCGTCGAAATTCTTACGAGTGAATGTAAAAAATTTTGAAAAAATACTCTATATAGAATATAATCAATCCGAATGCTGTCTATTTCTATACCAATGTAGATTAACTTTAATTTCAGTTTAATTCGGTTTACTATTTATCTTTTTTTAATTTTAAGAATTCTAATTCTAACAATTGGAAAAAAAAATAAATTAAACCGAGTTAAAGTTAATCTTACATTTATGGAACCGGACCTAAACCTATCGGCACCGGCAAACCGTTCAAAGTTCGTCAATGGTTTGCGATTCGATCGATCGTCATGCACGTGTTCTCCGGACGACGGAAAACTTGACACGATCGATGATGTGCTTGGCGTGCAACCTTGAACGAGAAAAGCGACCACTGATCGCTTCCTCTTTTTCGTAATGGAGAACTCTTCGGGGCAATACTTGATGGAAACACTTCCGGTGTCTGGCATCCAGATGTTAGAGAGATTCTGCTTTTATCGGATTTGTTTCTACACTTCTCCTTCTCGTCCTTTTCTCTCTTTGAATTACGTATCACACTTTCTTCATATCTCCTCGAAGAGGAGATGCTATCTTCTTGTTACTTTTAACGTTTATCACATTGTTTCATTCCTCGCTGTTTTCTCTCTTCGTTCGAGGAAAAGCAGATATGTTGCCATGTTTTTGAGAACATACTTTTTGAGAATGTATTAAGATAAATTTTAGATAAAGGAAGGTGAAAGGAAATGTTTCTCTACGATAAAATTGATGGTCGCTACGTTGAAAAAATTACTAAATTTTAATAAATATATGTGTTTGAATAATTGTAAGTAAATATTTATTCAATGTAAACATATACCTATTTATTTGATACAAAAACCATTAATTTTATTTAAGTATCATCTTTTTATTGAGTAAATATTTATTTGCTTTAAATAAATGTTTATTTAGTACTGTTTAAAGAAATATGTATCAAGATTTAATAAATTTTTTTTAGTGTACTAAAAAGATGTCATAAAAATTGCACCGTCACTCGAAAACAAGTGTTATAGTTACGCTCTATCTATATTTACTTCGCTCTCATAACTGTCTCGGTTCTAATTGAATTGGTCCTAATTTCTTCGACTTTTCTACTTTCGCGGATTCAGCGAGACACGATACTTCATGTCTTATCTCCTCGGGGTATCATTTAAGATAGAACAGAAGACATTTTCGTAAAGAAAGGTCTTGAATCACAACTGACTCGTCGAACAATTGGCGCGTGGCGATATTCCCGCCTCTTTTCTACTTTTCTTCTCTTCTTTCCCGTTCTGCGTGCTCTGCCCCCTCCATCGGTCCAGCAGCAGCCACCAGCTGGTTTGTTTCTGGCTGCGTGGACGTCGCCGACCCTTCGTGGAAGCCAGTTTTGAATCTTCGAAGTCAGTCGGCAGTCGGTGGCGCTTACGTTTCCTCGATCAAGATCCTTTTTCGATCTCTTCCATTCGCCTCTTTCATCGCCGTGGCTTCGGATTTGTCCCTCGCAATTACTTCGCGTGCGATATATATATATCTGCCATCATCCGAGGATTCCAAGCGTGGCGAACAGTATGAATTACGTGACTTCGAAGCCGTGTCAACAAGCATCGGGCTCGCCTTCTTAGTCGCCCCACTACCTTAGTGGGGTGCCGCATGCGGTCCCCTCGTCTGGACCAGGCCGACCCGACCAGGGACCCTCGGGGCCTCGGCAGGTGTGAGAGTGTTTCCATTCACTGCGAAGTGGCAGCGAGGAAAGTAACGACCAAGACGGTTTTCCTTAGCGAGCGGTGTTTTCAAATGGTCAATTAATGGTGATTTACAATTCGACAAGGCCAACCTCGAGAGTCTCAAGATCTCAAAACTTGTTTTCCGCGTTAAGAGAGCTAAAAAAAAAGTGGTACTTTAATCTCCAGGGATAAAGTGATACTTCAATCGCAGAATAACAATTTTATGCGGTAAACACGTGATGGAAGAGTTGAAGGAGTAATATAATGTGAATGTGAAAGCGTAATTAAACTCGCGGCGAAGTTTCGTTGAAACCGAGAAGACTGTCCGAAAAGAATCCCAAATTTCGGAAGGAGGCACGAAGCTGAATGTCGCTATCATGGTTTTCTTCGGAAGAAAGGAAAAGCTGGAGGATCGGCGATTGCTCGCCAGCATGGATGCCATGAACGGCTCGATAATTCATCAAATCGACAATGGTAAAAGTTTGTTCAATTATCGCGCCGCATATTCATCGATTATACACGCAACGCGATATCTCATCTCATCACAGATGAGACACGCGTGATGAATGGTTTCTCGCGCACGTAATAAACGAAAGTGGTTTCTGGCGAAATTGTCTCGTTACAGTCGACTGTTACAGTTTCCTCGAAATGAAAGAGAAATATTTTCGTATTTTACGTATATATGAGTATAATAGGTACGCGCGGTTCTTGATAGCGAGGCATATTTCCTCTAACATCCGGTGGGAACGAGCACAAATATTATCGTGTCGACCGCGTATTTTTAATTCCTTCTTTTCTCACTCCACCCCCCGTTTACTTTTCCCTTTTATTTTAACGACCGTGGCATAACGGTTACGCCTTTCGGTTGACGACTTTCAACGGTCACGTTTTCTATCTGCTTGTAAAATTCATCAGCGCGTAGCAATAAGCGAGCCATTCCAGAATTGCATTTAATGAACTAATTAAATTGGTAATATTATTGAGAGAGAGAGAGAGAGAGAGAGAGAAAGGCGGAAGAATGGCGCGTAATAAGAAAATAATAATTAATTTATAATAGCATCTCTATTTGTAATAAATCTAATTTATATATATATATACACATATAATTTATACACTGTAATTATATTACTACTATAATTATTATATATATGTATATAGCGTTTTTATTTTTCTGTTTTTATATTTGCGTGATAATATATCATACTATTATATATATTATAATACATTACATATTATTACTTTTTATATTAATTTAATGTCGATATATTAAAGCGACAAACGTAAAAAATATATTCACTTGATTCATGAGCGTGAAAACCAGCAGCGTATTCCATACACGTTGTGTCTCTCGCGTTCCCAGCCATGCTTCAATGCTTTATAATGGCATGCATTTATCATTCATACGCTGCATAGTTGGCGCAGGTTATTATTACATAGTCAAATGGCTTTTCATCGAGCACTCGGGAGTTTCAAACGCTCTGTAGCATAATCAATTGACAAGCCGTGCGTTTCATAAATCATCGAAAATGTTGCGTTTCTAAATGCGAACGAATAGGTCGTACATTTTCCAAGTACCTATATTTTCGTTTCACTCGGCAAATTATAAAAATGCTAACGGCGACAAACGTTTTCAAATTATGAATAGGAGTGGAGAATATTCGAAGAAGTAGCAGACACATCGCGATCGATAATATCGATCCGTTAACAGGTGTAACTATTCTTAAATGGAACGTGATAATGATGCCTAAGAGGCCTTGGGGAAGGCGTATTGAAGTCGTGAATAGAGGCGATGCTAATTGAATGCTCTTAGATATATTATTTAACAACTATATGCGCTTCGCATCCCTTGAGCCTATTCCAAATAAGTCTCAACTCCATTATACTCGCGCACTTATGTCCAGTCTCACATTCATTAAAATGAATAGAGGTTGATAATTTTTCGACTCCCAAAGAAAGTTACGTAATTACTTATTCTTTTAACTCTGTATAGAATATCCTAAAGCTTAAAAATTTCTCGTATATGAACACATCAATATTTTTTTAAACTAAAAAGAAATACTGATATCACGTTGATCGAATTGATGAATTAGTTTTGGATGTCCTTCAGAATTCTTCTGCAGGAACTCTCACGTTATTCGCGCGTATCGTTCAGTTTAGAAATTTAATTAGACTATGTAATTATCGTTATTTCGACTCTCAAGTCGTTGGAAGAAAACGATAAACAACCACAGAAAAATGCTCGGAGCTCAGGTTGAGAGTCGACGAGGATCTCGCGTGACAGCCTCGGCCACCTGTAGCTGACGATATTGATCAGGCCGAAAGATGGCCACGCCCGGGTTCACTCTCGCGTCGCTGCGACCCCCGTGTTGGAATCCCGCTTCTCCCTCGTCACCCTCTTCCAGTCTCTCTTTCTCTCTTTCTCCCGACTGTTGCTGCCATTGCAGCCGTATGCCGCATGCGGCGATGCGCCATTCCCAGTCCCGGTGAATTCGCAACTGATTATGAACAAGTGCGTCGTTACTGTTCCAGCCGCGTTCATGCACGTGCGTGACAACATTGAGGAGTTGGGGAAAGTCGCCGACGACACAGACCTGCTATTCCTGAAGGGCCTCCTCGACAGCCCGGTCGTTACGTCCCTCGTGAAGGTGAGTAAACCCTTTCTCGAAATTGAATCGCGGATCCAGTCCGGGAGATTGTCTTGTGAGATTATCTGGGTCCCTTTTGACATTTTCGGTTTTTATTCATCAGTAGATTAGATACGAAAATCGCCACGTAAAGCTCTTTTTCGTCGGTGTTGTATTTTTTAACGTAGAATACGAAAGAAGAATATACCAGTCGACAACTAAAAGTAACATAACATTAATATTACTCTCTAAATTCTTGGAATCTTACTCTAAACAGTGAAAGTTGAGCCAGTTTAAAAAATAGCTATTTTTTTTTTAAATTGAGCCAAATTTTTTATTTTAAGAGAGATTTCACTCTTTAGAGTGAGCTTTTACTCTAAAAGTTTTAGAGAGTATAACGTCGTACTCAACAATATAAATGTAACAAAATACATTGTGTAACATAATAGTTACATTGTTGAGTACGAAATTATAATAGTGATGTTATGTTGTAAATTAATGTCGATTGGATACTTCGGTTAAATTTTCCTCTTCGTAAATCTGAGATTTGTTTCTTTTCTTTTAACGTTTTATTTTTATCACTCGGCTTCGGATACGAGAAATTCTAATGGGAAACAGTACCGATTTGCAATTTTCTTCACAACGTGAACGGGTCGTAAATGCGCGAGTGGATATCATTTCGGTCCACGCACATTACGCGCACAGCTTTGAACGTCTGTCTGTGTGCTCTTCAAACGTTGTTTACTATGACCGTGGAAATTTATGAGGGACACGTGGATCTGTCTGCGGTTCTCATCGCCGCTATATCTTTTTGATTTGTTATATCGATGAATTAAAAAAAAAAAATCAAGATTCACGCGAGTATTCTGGCCGTCTGCCCTAACAATCCATGTCGTTGAACCGTCCTGCGTGAACGTGTTCGCCACGTTAATGGAATCGATCATTTAGAATGGCGAACGCGACAACCGAAATAAACCAGCCAGAGTTAAATCCGGGAATATTTTCATGTGCGGCTGTATGGAGTGTAGTGCACGATTCTACAGAGAGAAATTGTGCAGTTCTCTAATTTCTAAATATAGTTTGAAATCTAGGTTTGTGCAGCCTCTGCGAGGAGCGGGGCAGTAACTAATTGTAGAACGGTAACATTTCGATCATTTATACTTATCGCCTATTCTTACTTTAGTATCAACATGGTAATACATAAGTTTGACTCGATACATGGAAAGAACGATGATCTGCTGAAGTATTTATAAGAATTTAGCTGGAATACAGATCTGAAAATATTTTATTGGACTATTAAAATAATTTTGTAGGAATTTCAAGCGTAATGAGCAACACTGCAAAAAGTTTTAACATTCTAGCAACCAGTTTGAGTCCTACATAATTATTTTGATGGCCCAACAAAATTATTTCTAGATCTGTATCTAGCTAAAATTTTAGATATTTTACAAACCGTTCTTTCCATAAATATTTACTCGCTGTGGGAGAATCTCTTCATTGCGATGCATTTATTGGAACTATAATTCAGCAGTTCTAAAAATTTTTTATGTATTTCTGAATTAAATATTGCTTTAATGAGCTGGACACGTCAGATATGCAAAATTTTAATAGATCACGTTTTACGCTTATAGTTTGGTTTAGGATAGTATCACCTTGCTGGAATCTGGTTGAGTCGCTCTTTTGGCGAGGATCGCGGCGGAGCGGAGGCCCGAGGCTCGTTCATCATTCAGCATGGAGAAAAAGAGGGAATTTCGGGAACATAACCGCGTGCCAGCACGTTAGTTTTATTTCTCTTCCTCGCTTCTCTCTCTCTCTCTCTCTCTCTCTCTCTCTCTCTACGTGCCTTCACATGCCTGCATCACACGCTCGTAACATCCGCGCGACACCCACGCTATTTCGGTCGCGACACACTTCCCGCGATCGCGAAGAGAGCCGCGAAGAGAGATGGCCTTCAACAAGAATATTACCAGCGATGGGCTAAAAAAACATTGTTATGCGATGCGTACGTTCTGACTGTTCGGCTTCATGATTGATTATACTTTTCCCCTTTTCCGGCGATGTTTTATATTGAACAAGAGCCTTTTCAGTCTCCCCCATGACATACGTACGTTTTCCCCTCGGCCGAGAACCGGGAACCTACATTCCAGTAATTTTCTACCAGACAAGCAGATATAACACGTGAATAACAGCAGGTAGAGAACGTCCGGTATCAAGAAGCCGTTAAAGAGTCGGCTCACGTCTTTCGCCTTTTACGCCGAATGAGCCAACAGTGGAAAGTGCTGACGACTAAAGTGTTCATGCCTTTGTGGAAAAGTCGAAAAATCTCAAAGAGATGTCAAGAGAACGTTTAATGAAGAGCCAGATAATTGGATAATTATTGAGAAACAAGAAAGAGAAAAAAAGAATACACCCCACATCACCACACGAAGAAAAATGTAAAGTAATACGTGCTGGAATGCTGTACTGAAAAAAAGGATGTTGCAGCAAATTAGATGGTAAAATATGGCGTAGCGTTTTTAATTGATTGCAGCAGCCAATTTTTGACTGTGTTAATCTATCGAAATCCTATACTGACATTGCGGATAGGCTAATGCAACCAAAAATTGACTGTTGCAACAAAAAATTGGCTGCTACAGCCAATTAAAAATGCTACGCCATATTTTACCATCTAATTTGCTGCAGCAGCCAATCCTTTTTTTCAGTGTGGTAATTTGTATGGGATTGACAGGTCCATGTGGGGACAGACGTCCATTTATGCAAAATTCACTTTATTTTTCTGATAAATGAGCGATCGTTGTTTAGTCATATTGCACTGAGAGAAAAGAAATAGTTCTGGTAACTATAAATTGACAACTCTAAAATTTAAATACCTGCAACTAGTTTTACAAAGTAAGAACTAAAATAGTACTGAATATTATAAAAATAAACAAATGAGGCAATTGGGAATCGGCACAGTGAACGGCGCAATTTAATATTAAAAAAATGTTATCTTACATAATAAAATTGTATGTTTCAGCTAGTATTCTAGCCTCCTTCAGCAAGTAGAGACTCTTACAAAAGATCCATGTAGACTTGTTACAACAGGTGATGTTTTTCAGGTCGTAATTATTGTGCGGTAATAATTCCTCCATTAAAGAGACGAGCTCAGTTACAAGGCTGGATGGTAATAAATGACTAAAATCTTTAAATTACGTTTGTCATTTGTTTATATTTTTGAATTTGTTATCTTGGGAATTTTAATATTGTTACCATTATAAAAATATAGTATTCAGTACTACTGTAGTTCTTATTACTTTGTAAAATTAGTTGCAGAAATTAAATTTTAGAATTGTCAATTTATAATTGCTAGAACTATTTTTTTTCTCAGTATGTAAAGTACTTTTTACATTTCGTAAAATAAATCTATAAATTACCATACATCTTAATTGAATTTACTTTACCGCTAAGTATTTTTACCTTAACGCTGATTTGACTTTATTACACGGTGAAAAATACAAATGTATGAAGTCTTGAGAATTGTTCGTGCCTACAGTCTTGAGAATAGTATGATTTACTTTCTGTCAGATAATACTTGAATGAATTTACTATAATTGTAACATACTTTTTACCTTACATCTCCGGTATTCTTTCAGCCAAGTAAAGTTCGTTATAAACTCGGCGAAAGTAGCCAGAATATTTTCACTGGTCTGGTAAGACAAAAATTACTCAATCATTTTCTCCGTGCACCACTTCTCCGTGCCAGACTCTCCAAAGCTGGTAATCACCTGAACAAGCAATCCCATGGTGCATCCCGTGAGAAAAATTATAATCCGCGTGCGACGAGTTACGAGGCATGAGAGAGGGGATTGAGATTTACTGTCACACTCAATTGGCCAAATTGCTATCTTTCTCTCCTTAATAATAATTACGGATAATTGGCTGTGACCCTGCGGGACCTCTTGATTGGGCGTAGGTCATAGGCGCCTCCGAGTTGTGGAGTCATCGCTCGTGTATGTCGCAGAAATCCTGGCGCGAGCATGCGTGTCGCGACGGTAACATGTTTTGTAAGTCCGTAGCGTGTACAACGAGACGATATGTAATTTCAGTCGGTGAGTCGGCTTTGTGATCGCGCACGGGAGGAAGTGGGAGAGACACACACGCGGCATGCGTGTCGATCCACGTGTGTAAGTGACAGGACTGTACGTTAGCCTCCACCGTGGTTCTTATCGGACGCGTATATATATATATTCTTTATCTCGCACTTGCCTCGGGTGAAGTTTCCCACGTAATTGAATCCGCTATATCGACTCTTGCGTAGAATTACTTTTGACTTTTGACGAAAGACTGGTTCTCTTTTCTTGGTGCGAATATAGATGGATACCGATTTTGCTGATCATTAGTGTTTAGTACTGAACGCGCAATTACATCATTCGGCTGACGTTATTTGTAACTCGACTTGAACTGCTGAGTCTTCAAAATGGTGACACATTTAATAATGGAGCGTTCAAGTGTGCTCGATCGTTAAATGACTATGCAGTCTGTCTATGAGTAATTTGTTTTTTAAAATTGGAAGCGTTACAACTAGTTGAAAACATATTGTCATTCTACCTGTCGTATAATTTAGAGTAAGTTCGAACGAGGTTTTTCCTAAATACCTGAATAGTTTTCGTTTACAAAACAAACAATTGAAACGAATGTGACTGATAGGTCTCCACCACAACGTGACGAGGTTCTTTATCGCGAGCTTCTATCTGTCTTGCAATCTTAAACCATTTTCGAGAGACGTCGAATTATACCGAAGAGAAGCATCGATATCGATTTCGATTGCAGCTATTCTTTTCAAATGGGATTACTCGTAAAGCTGCTAAATATTAGAAACCTTATAAGAGTCTGGTTAAAGCGGGTCAATCTAATTGATTGCCGTTTATATTGGAAAAAATACTAAATTTCAATAAATATTTGTTTGAATAGTTCTAAGTAAATATTTATTGAAAGTAGAATATATTTATTTGCTACAAAAGCCATTAATTTTATTTGACTATCATCTTTTTATTGAGTAAATACTTATTTATTATAAATAAATGTTTACTTAGTAGATACTATTCAAAGAAATTTATCAAGATTTAATAAATTTTTTTAGTGTATGTTTTATTTGGTATAGTTCAAATAGTTTTGTACATTTTCGGAAAATAAGAAAAAGTAAGAAAAAAGAAATAGATAGCTTATTTATTCGCCATATTTTATCTACTTTGACCAAACTTATTATAGGATCTCTAATAAACATGACAATGACAAGCCTCTCACTTGTGTCAACAGTATTTTCTAAATGAAAAACGGTAAACATACGGACATTTTATATTCATATTTCTTCATGTTAATGAAAGCCGTTTTTATTTTAGAGTCATGGCACACAGAAAACTTAAGCAATAAAACGTAAAGCAGAATTGGCCAATCACAATAAAGGCCGTAAAGTCATAACGTAAACAATAGCAAATTCAACATGTTGATTTCCTTACTTACGTTTTACCGCTTGAATTTTTTTTGTACCATAGCCCTTGCAATACATCTCCTAATTCCGAAACGTTCCCGCGTCCACTGAAAGAGTTTTACTTTGTATCAGCTTCGAAAGCCTGGATTGTGAAACTGTGTCAACGAACCAACGATAGCGTTTGCTGATGTCATATTCTCCATTTGAAGTAGACCTAGCTTTGATGGGCTCGTAATTTGTGAGCTCAGGTGGAAACGAGGAAACCACGATAAATAATAAAGTCAACAAGGAATACGTTATGACTTTAAACTGTGACGAAAACCTGCGAAAAAAGTGATGCTTGGAAATCAGAGACGTACGATTCCGCTCCGTTTTGCGACGACCTTGAAACAGTGGTACTCGGACGAACAAGCTACGCTCCTGAAGCGAACGTAGCGGAGTGTTGCATGCCAGGAGAAGGAAGGAAGGGCCCCCACCTGTTTCAGAAACGGCAGGCGACTCGCCTGAACGGGCTGCCTACGCGGAGGGAGGTCAGACGACGTCAGTAGGCGCGGCAGAGTTTTCTGACTTGCTGCTTATACGATCGAGTATCGCGCGACGTGACGAACCCGAGCATATCACCCTCATCCGCGGCATCCTGCGTGGTCGCTTTTGCCACCCCGTGCGACAGATCTGGTTTCCCTCCGTTCGAGAACCGAGCTCTCCCTCACCGATCGATACGACTGCGAGAGGGCACCGACCACGACCAGTTAAAGCCGCTTAGCTTCACCAGTTCGCACGGAGCACTGCGTCGCGACTCTTTCTTCAGGTGAGACATCGTTTCCCGAGGAAGCGTATAGTGGGTGAGAGAGGCGTCTGCCTAAGTGAGCAGAAGATCATCTTCGATCTCGCGTTGCTCAGCTTCCATGAATGGAACATACTCGTTTCAGTCATTTTCGGTAAGGTGCAACTGAAAAATATGAAAGTACCGTTAGTGACGCGATTGGGGCAGGGTGCAATAATGACGGAGTGATCGAAAGACAGCCGGTGAGACCATATGGCTCTACTCCGCAGTTGCCGCAGTGAACCGATAAACCCGATAGAAGAAAGGTATCGGAGAAAACGTAAGGCTGCATTCGATGGTAGAGAACGAATCGACTCGCCTGATGATATTCTGAAGAGAGAACACACAGGGAGGATTTGCTCACCTCATGTCATAACTTCACTGGATCGTTCTTGTCGCAATACGCGTAGCGAGGTGCAGCTTTTTTTGCGGAGATCATTCGCAGATCTCTTGAACGCTCTGTTCACTTTGAGAAACGAAACGAGTTCTGAGCGATTCGTCTCACAAAGGATCTCTGCAGCGAAGCGGATAAATAAATGCCGCGGCTTTATAGTCCATAAACGCAAGTACGACGTGCGGCGCGCCTTGGACGCAGCCTCCGGTAAATCTTGCGTCCCTCTACTGACGCAATCAGATGCAACACTCGGCGCACGGGGAGTCCGTTCGAAGTAAACGGTACGAGAAAACGACCGCGGCGTACTTGATGACCCGCGACGAAGTGCGTCGATAAATCTTGCACGATGGACGTCGATTTACAGATTTTCGCGTTTGAACTTCGCGAGCACGTGGGCGCGCGCGTTGAGCAAACAAGTCGAACAAACAGGAAGCTTGACGTTGAAAAATTTCCGGAGGAAAGTCGCCGTTTCTCGTGGATCGTTAATCATTGGGAGAAATTCACAATGCGCCGATTCCGCAATGCGCCTCGCGAGAGCACGTACGATGAGGAAACTCTCGTTTGACCGGTAAAGCGCGCGTGTATATAACGATCGTTGCAGTTCGCGATTCTCGAGAGAAAATAATTTAGTGATGAATCATCGACTTACGACGACAATCTACATTCATGCGTCATTGTATTGTGCACCATAATCGCAGAATAATATGAAAAAGATTATTTATGGATTTACGTCGAACGTTTTCTGTTTATTTTTATAACATCGTCATCGTCATCATCATCATCATCATCATTAGCACTATATTCTTTGTGTGGATCTTGATTTCTTCCATTGGTTACTTTCTAAATTCTTTACAGTGTAATCTCTAAAGAGTGAAAATTTAACAGTCTTGAAAAAGAATGATTTAATTTGTAATCTTTAATAGTGATGAGCTTTCTACAATTCCATTTTCTAAGATTTAAGACGTAAGAAATTGACTAATAATCATTATTCTTCTCACATTTGAGTGTGATTGATCAATTCCTTACGGCTTAAGATTTAAAGTTTAGATAATGACTTATTGTAGAAAGCTCGTGAGATTTCACTCTTCAAAGTAAGAGTCTCTCTAAAAATTTTAGAGAATATAGTTAATTATATGATTTTAGTAATGTTTGAAAACGGGTTGTAAATTACAACTTTTATAAGTTGTAAATTTCTTTTAAGAATCTGTTATGTTTAAAAAAAACATTAAGATTGTCTGGGATATTGAGAAATGCGCCATTTCAAACGTGTCGTCGAACGAGTCGGAATGGCCTACTTTCCCAATTACTCGTTCATTGTAAACTCTGAACTCCGCTCCGGATAGGATGGGACTAAATGTCTTTCGTGTCGATTAAATTAACTCTAATCCGATTGCACTCCGTTAGCATTCGCATCATTGCATGTCAGTGATCTTTAACAACGCGTTAGTAGCCGGATTTTTTCCAATGTATCCCATCATTTCTTATACAACCTGTAATTTCTTATACAGACCTTCTATCATTCTCAACTGCACGTTCCAAGAAATATTTCCCTCCTCAAACGAAAATTACAAGTTGTACTTGAAGAAATCTGTTGATTTAACGTAGTTTCTTTATTTACTTCTCTTTCTGACTGAAACAAAGACGTGAACCGCATGAATTTAACGCGGAAATTTGTTCCAATTTCGAGCGACAATAAAAGCTATTAAATAAATTATTGTTACATTTTTACAGAAAGGATGGTTTTGTTAAAGTATTTAAAAATTTAACTAGATACACACACACAATCTGAAAATAATTCTATTTGAGCATCAAAATAATTAGGACGCTCAAACTGGATGCTAGAATGTCAAAACTTTTTACAGCATTGCTCATTACGCTTGAGATTCCTACGTAATTATTTTGATAATTCAACAAAATTATTTTCGAATCTAGCTAAATTTTTAGATACTTAATCAAACTCGTTCCTTCCGTGTTTTCTTGTGAATTAAAGAATATGAAATAAAATAAGTAATTGCGAATCTACAAACAATGCGAAATAAAGATTCAAAAAATGTTTAAAAAAAGAAGAAAAGTTAAGAACGTTTTAACCGTAACATGATCCGAAAAGAATTGTTACGACTTGGAAATATCAACAACGCGTCAACGGGACGCTGAGGGAGGATACGAGTCGTGGAGGAGTTTCTAACATTTCTAAGCCTCGTGAGAAAAACCAGTTTTTCAGGTCCAGATTTTAAACCTTCTGTCTTTGTTTGCGTGCCAGGTGCAGGAGCGTCTCGAGGACCCGCCGGTGCCTGTAGAGCCGGTATGCTCATCCGTCTGTGACATCGTCGACGAGGTGTGCCACGCCTTCCAAGCTTCCAGGGATTCTCACGTTAAAGAGCTAGCGAATCTTCTCGGTAACGTGCATCTAAGGGCGCTCCTGGAGACACACGACGCGGTCGTAGAACGTAGGGAAGCGCCTTCCAAACCGCCTGATCCGCTCGCGTTAACGATGCCGACGAATAAGAAGGAGGCAATGCCTATCAGGGTCGTCGGCCTTCGGAGGCAACCGGATGAACCCCTGGTAAGTCCATACGGTAAACAATGTAGAAATAACTCGGAAAATAAACACAAATTGTATTATTTAATGTTGAAGAAAAAATAGTTCATTAATTCTAATTTCGATTAGTTCGTTCGAAGATTCTTTTCTCTTCTTTCCATTCAACTTAAAAACAACGTAATTACTGTAATTATTCAATGAGATTATTTGATACTGGGACATGTAGAAACTAAGTTTAGAATCTAAAGCGAGATTGGAAAAGTTTACCGCGAGAGAAGCTCCCCCTTCGCGAATTAGCCCGCCAGATTCGCCCGAAGAAAAGACGAAGATGTTGCAGTTCGTAAATAAGTACGAATGTTTATTTCTTTGACATGCCACGTATTTCGGCGATTTTCTGGTACTACGCGCTTCTTTAAGGTATTCAAAAGCGAAATATGGCCAGCAATTTTCAGCGTTGCACTTAAAGTGTTATTGACCGTTACGCGAGAAAGACTCGAAAGTCGCAAGTGAAATATGCTTTAATTCGACGTAATTAGATAAGAGCGAGACATTATTTTCATATCCGTATTTTTTCAGGGTCTGACGGTGCAAGTGGATGAAGCTGGAAATATGATCATCGCTAGGATTCTTGGTGGTAGCACGGCGGCTCGTCAAGAACTTCTAAAGACCGGTGAGGTAATACTCGAGGTCAACGGCAAGAGAGTTCGAAACCCCGAAGAACTCCAACAGGCGATTCAGGATGCCAAGGAGAATCTATCCTTGAAATTGGCTCCAGGCATCGCCTCGGAAACGAACCAACCTCTCAAGTCCACGGTGAGTTACAAGCTGTTTTTCCATCTCGATGCCTCTGGTAACAACTATGTTCTCATTCTCCTTCCTTATGGTGCTCATTCAAGCGCGAAAAACACGACGTCGGCGTCGTAATCGCAGAGCAATGAAAATTCATAATAATTTCGTCGAGCTGCCGCTTTAATTTGATTTGTCATTGCAGTGTTACATGAGGGCCCTCTTCGATTACGATCCCTCGGAGGACACGCTTCTGCCCTGCCGCGAAATCGGTCTACCTTTCCAGAGGGGCGATATCCTTCAGATTGTTGACCAAGCTGATCCGAATTGGTGGCAGGCGAGAAGAGTGGAGGGCGAGAATCTTGGATCGCCCGGACTGATACCCTCGTTGGAGCTAGAAGAGCGCAGAAAGGCATTCGTACCCCCCGAAGCAGATTTCGTTCACAAAATCAGCATCTGCGGTACTAGGATATCTAAGAAAAAGAAGAGAAAGATGTATCAATCCAAATCGAACGGCGAGTTTGATAGTGCCGAATTGCTTCTTTACGAGGAAGTCGCTCGGATGCCGCCGTTTCGACGCAAAACTTTGGCTCTGGTCGGACCACGCGGCGTAGGTCGTCGGACCCTGAAGAACAGGCTGATCAACAGCGATCCCGAAAAGTTTGGTACTATTGTACCCTGTAAGATATATTTAATTAATTCATGTTTCATCAATCGATACTGGTAGCTTGATTATCGTACTGAGCGAATGTAATCTCTTCACAGACACATCGAGACCTCCTAGAGTTCTCGAAGAGGACGGCAAGAGTTACTGGTTTACCGATCGCCAGTCCATGGAGATCGATATCAAGGAACATAGGTTCCTGGAACACGGTGAACACGGTGGACATTTATACGGCACGAAACTGGACTCAGTGCGGGAACTGATCAGAGCCGGCAAGATGTGCGTGCTAGACTGCAGTCCAGCTGCACTCAAAATCCTTCATAACAGCACCGAATTTATGCCTTATGTCATATTCATCGCCGCACCCGGGATGGAGCAGCTGAAGTCTTTATACGATCTCGGGAGATCGACTGGTGCCAGCAGTCGAAATCTAACGGTATTCTTATCCAAAGTTTATCCAAACCTATATTTTCATAAAAATTATCTTTCCCTATATCTCAAATCTCTACATTCTCTTTAGAGCTCTTCCTCGATTTCATGCGATGCTAGCAATCTATATGCGACAACTTATTTATTTCATTGTTTATTTTATTTTTATTCCATCACTTTAGTTAATTGTTGTATAAATTTGATGTTGGCTTTGCTAGTTCGACCGCCAGAGTTCCATCAGGTACAGCTCGAGAAGAGCCAGAACATTGGAGTCTCTCGCATCTTTATATGAGGTTTGTATCGCATGATTCGTATTGTTTTATTACGTTATTATGCAGCATGTATTTACAGCAATTTGGAATGTCACAAAATTATTAATAGTTACCGATTTAGTTACGTATTTTAGTATCTCTCTTTCGCACGATATTCCTTTATTTTAATTCATAGAATAGAATTCTTCAATGCTTAATCACGGGAGCCATGAAAATATCATCTTTCACTTGACAAGTTCGTGTCCTTACATAAATGTAAACAAATAACTCTTTAAACCCTTTTTATAACCCGCGGAATTAAAGAAACCAAGCTACGTTTGTAATCTCGTCTAAAATGCATCTTACACACGCTTTTATCATGAATTAATTAGAAAAAAAATATTTTATATAATAGAGCATTGTGAAAACAAGAAATTGATTGATGATCTATTTCATAGGAGGACGATTTAAAATCCACGTTGGAGGAATCTGCGGCCCTGCAGAGAGCCTATGAAAAGTATATCGATCAGGTGATTGTAAATGAAGACTTTGACAATACGTTCAGGCAGGTGATCGCAGCTTTGGATGCCTTAGCCACAGAGCATCAGTGGGTGCCGGTCAATTGGATCTACTAATTAAGTTCTGAATTCAGTGTTCGACATTGAAAAACTCGAGAGTCAAGGGCTGCTAGAAATTTTAGCGCGAATAAAAGAAAAATTTGTTTATTACTGCCCACATCACGTACGAAAACTGCGAGATTACATTACGAGAACTGGTATTCAGAATCAGACTCCGTTTATCGCGCGGCTAGGAAAACGCAAGGCACGTGTAATCAGAGTACAAAGAATGCTACGAATATTTCATGCCGCGTGAAGCGATATCGACGTTATCGCGCAAAAAGCGCGGTCAAGAATCTCATTATTATCGTTTATTATAATTATAAATATAGCGTTTACGTTAGTTTGTTATAGATTTACAAACGACCCGTTTTGCATACGGAATCTCATTAAAAATCCTTGTTTCACACATTATACATTAAATCATAATGTATAGACTTCCCATACAGCACAGAATTTGCAGCAATATTGCTGCAAAATCTCTGAAATATTGCTGCAACATGCAATGTTGCAACTTTTGTGCAACTTGTGCTGTAGGAATTACAGAAAACCGCGAATCTTCTTAAATCATTTGTCCTTGACAGATCGACATAATGATATGTGAGGCTGGTTATACTCAAAAATGGAAAGTGAGTACTTTTTTTACAATGAAAAATCATATCACACGCTGCATTTTTACTGCCAATCTTGACAACGACTGTAGAAGCAATTCGGGTCGATTGATGTGTTAGACCGCCGTCCAGTTAATTTTAGTGTATTTTTAATTTAATTAACGATAACTGCGTACATCTATACGATCATTTATACCTATTCGCGACTCCGCTATACACCTTTCTCGTGAACACCTTTCTGTTTCGTGTTTCATTTTGCTATTCGTGCACGCTAAAGTAATATTCCTGGCATGGAGTGCCTTAATAACGCAAAGACTATAGGCAGTATTCATATTCGGTTCTTATATTTTAAGATCGTCTTAAGATGCTAATATGGTTATCTGATTGGTTCATGACATCTTAAGCTGTGACGTACTTAAGACGATCCTAAGGTTCGACTATGAATATCGCTCTACAATTGATTTAATGCGAAGACTTATTATGTCGACTTGACAGACTCATCTTGCATTCGGGTTTCATGATGGATAAAACTAACCATTGCCTTTTTTCTAACGTCTCCGACGGACAGTCGCATATTCACGCATATGCATCCACACGTATACACATTCGAATTTTTTAATTCACACATGCATCTTAAAAAAAAAAGTACATATACTTGTAGGTTAAAAGGGTTGCTTTGTACACAGAATACAATTATAAATATATCTGTATATTAAATCGAGACACCTGTCCCGAAGAGCAACGTGATGCACGAGTGGAATAAAGTTTATCGAGCATTTGTTACGGATTAGAATTGTGCAACGAATGAATTATTATTTCAGTATTCCTGTCCTCGCTCCTTTTTCAGGGTTCTGCGAAAGGACGTTTATCAAACCGAAAATGGTACTAATGATAGATATAAGGATTTAATAAATTTTTTATCATCATTATAAATTGAAAATATGTAATTAGGTAAAAACCATTTTTATACATGTGTATTATATTCTCTTCTTCTCTTTTTTAATACAAATCTGTATCAGATTTTTCTCATACATGTAAAAATTAAAACAGATAAAAATAAAAATCTCAGGGGAATTAATTTCTTTTATATAATAATATCTTATATTTATTTTTAAAAATATGCGAAGAACGTTCTTTATAAACTTCTGTAAATAGATTTATGCCATAAGTATTGTTATATAAATAACATCTATAACGTTTTATTTTTATTATTTGTTATTATTTGAAACGAATGAAAATAAAACTCTCAAGGGAATTAATCTCTCTCATAAACACCTTATTTATTATATTTATTATTATAAAGAAATATACAGGAAGCGCGCCGTGTTTAATGATCGTAAATAAATTTATATTTGCGTTATAAACTTTCATAAACAGCATATATAACGTTTTTATTTCATAAAAGTAATTAAAAATGTTCCTTCAATCTTTTATTTATGAAACCTAATCTTTTAAAATATATTAACGTTATTAATTTTCACCAATGATTGACATTATAGGAATAATAAATTCGTGACAAAAATAAAAAAAAACGATAATTATAAAATGTTATCGCGTTCGACGTTATCGTATAAATAAATTAAATAAATGGAGAAAGATTTTTCTCAGTGCGAAAGTGGCGGTCTCGAAATCATAAGGCCGGTTCCTTTTATTTGCACTATTTGTGTGAGATTCCTCGTTCTTCTCTCTCCCTCCGATGCGCGGATATATATCCGTCTTCTTTGTAAGTGCAGCAAATATGTGCGAAAACGAATCAAACGGGGCCTGCCGGCCTACCGGCTGATCGGCCAATGGCAGCGTATTATCTGCCACGTTTCAAGGTGGCAGAGTGGCTTGTCATAGACTCATGACACGTACGTGTCGTGCGGGAAAATCCTCGGGCCGCTGTAAGCGATTGCCGCGTACCGTCTCCTCGCCGTCGTCGGGAAGATGCAGATGCTACGGCAACTGGACGTGCACCCGAAGGTGCGCGAGGAGGCAGATATCCTCGTGAGGACTTTCAGCGGTGCTATCGGTAAACACAGTGTACTTTGTTGCGATACCGAACGACGACGACGATAACCGTCCGTCGCCGGCGAAAATGAAACCCGGAGAACCGCCACGAGGACCGAATGTGTCGTTTACATTCCGCTGCGCTAAATAGTGTTACTTGGTGCGAGGCGAAACGATACCGGCGAGCGATTAACCTCCTAGAATTTTTCCGCTCTCTGTTGACATCTCATTAAAATACTTGACTGAAATATTTTAATGAGTTACAATATATTCCATTAAAATATTTTATCCGGATATATCATTCAACATTTTAATTCTCATCCTGTAGTAGTCGTATAAATGTTTGTGTTTGTTTGTTTCTTCACGTGTTTCTTGATGTTTGTTAATAAGAATTATTTGTTTACACTTGGCCGATAGTAAATAAAGCGCAGTTTGACGTATATTATGCTTGATAAGACGCCTGTTCTTTTTAGCTGAACTTTTGCACCAGTTCATCTTTCTTCCTTTTCTCTCCGGGAGGAAAGAAGAGGAAGAAAGATGAACTGGTGCAAAGTTTAGCTAAAAAGAACAGGCCTAAGAATTGACCTCATGTTACACCAATGCAAATGATGAAATAATGCCTTTTCAGTTACAATCATTAGTACAATCATCATGGGCATACTGTTTTTGTCAGAGGTAAATTATTATCTTACACCAACTATGAGCGAGGAATTATTTGTAGATACCTCCAGGGGTTCTAAATTGAGAATCAATTTGGATATAATAGTCCCTGCTATATCTTGTGATCGTAAGTATAAATTGCACCGGTACATAGGCGAAGAATGATATCAGTCTCAGTCATTTCAGTGTTTTGCAGTTTTATCGTTAGACGCCATGGATACAACGGGCGAACAGCATTTGCACATAGAACACAATATTTTTAAGAGACGGTTAGACCTGAACGGTAACCCCATAGAAGATCCACAAAGGACAAGTAAGTGTAATATTCTTTTCAATATATACTTAAAAGTGCCATGTAAAAAAAATGTTTTATTGTAGATATTACAGATGCAAAGGCCATGAGTAAAACTACAGAGAAGGTAATGCAAGATTTTTTGTAGGTATCTTCTAACTGAAATTTCCATTTGGAAATTAGTTATTAGATAGAACATTTTTACAGGCAGTGGAGATCGGTTCTACTACAGAGCTCTGTGGAGATTGCTATGGAGCAGCCACGGACACTATGAAGTAAGATCCCATTTTTATTAGGACACTATGAAGTATAATTCTATTATTATCCTACTTGCAGTGTAGATCTTATTCATAAGATTAATCTACAATGCTCTTTGCTTCCTGTTCCCTATTCTTTTACCCATTTTTATTTCGTTTTTTTGCTTCTTATTCTGCTTCTTCGATTTTATCACGAGAGTAGCGATCATGGAACAAAATCGGAATAAATTCCGATCGGAATTATTCAATTATTTCCTAGATTTCTATTGTGTTTTCTGGGGAAAACGGAATAATTTTTTTTTCCGATCGGAATCCATTCCGACTTTGTTCCATGATAGATGCCCAGAAAAGAAGTTGATAAAGTTGGAAGAGACAAAAAATAATTATCGATAAAACAATCGCAAAGAGGAAAAAAGGGAAGAGGTAAAAATAATAAAAAGTAAGAAACAAAAAAGCAAACAGTATATTGTAGATTAGTTGTTCTTTTTAGTTGAAAAGATTTCTTCCACAGTTTACTCTCTAAATTCTTTGAAAATCTCACTTTAAAAAGAGTGAAATTCACTTTAAAAATTTTAGATAATTTTTTTCTTTTTCTATCAAGATGAAATTTATCAAATCTACATTTTATAAAATTTCATTTGTTCGCAGATGTTGCAATACCTGCGAGGATGTATGGGAGGCCTACAGACGAAAAAAGTGGGCTCCGCCGGATCCAGCTGAAGTTAAACAGTGTCAGAATGACAAATCCATGGATAAACTCAAGCATGCCTTCACGCAAGGCTGTCAAATCTATGGTTATATGGAAGTGAATAGAGTCGGTGGTAGTTTTCACATCGCGCCAGGCGCTAGCTTCTCGGTCAATCATGTTCATGGTAAGCTAATAAAACTCAAATTTTTTTAAAACAATATTTCTCATGCCATGCTCTTATGAGCTTGTTCTTTGATACCGCAGTGCACGACGTTCAACCGTACACTTCATCCCATTTCAATATGACGCACAAGATCAGACATTTAAGTTTTGGGCTTAACATCCCAGGGAAAACAAATCCTATGGATGGCATGACAGTGGTCGACATGGATGGTATGTCCTTGAAATCCTTAATTCTATTTTTATTAAAAACTTAATGACTCGCGCTTACAATACAAACAGTACAACGAAAAAGATAGACTGCGAGATACTCAATAACATAGCTCCGTTCACGTTGCTCGTGTACTAGCATCGTATCCCTGTTCCGATAGCCATGAATGTGCCAAATGTGCCGCCACCTTGAAGCATTACCTTGCCGACGCTGTTTAACAATTCTCTTCCTCTTAATCCGTATCTGAAAAAAAGTTTTATAATTATATTCAAATTTTTTAATGCGTATGTACCGGTATTTTCTACACATGCGTTTTAAATACCTAAGAGCAGAAAATCCTCCGAAAAGCGCACCAGAGGCCATTCCTACGCAAAATCCAATTGTGAAACCTAATTTCATTCTATCGAAACAAGTCGGTCCTTGTTGATAGGCCCCTCCAGGTACCACCGGCATTGTGCAGCCTACGAAACAGTTGTTATGCCAGTGTTTGTTTCGCTTTCCATAAACTATCTTTTTTTTATAGTTTTTGATTTTAAGTAACAATATCTTCAAAATGAAGACAGAATTTGATAAATTGAATACACTTTTCTTGAACAGCTTTGCGAGTTTTTCATTTATGATAAATAGAAAAATTCTCCAATTTTGAATAAAATTAAATGTTTTTATGGAGTTTATATTGACACATGCAAGGTTGATAGTGCACATACTTACTGTTAAAGTGTATGTTACGTAATCTTGTGGCGTGTGCGGTCGATCGAGAGTGATATTATTCTTACTTTTCAATTTTGAGTTTGATCGTAATTTTTGTGCAATTGCCGGAATTTTATCAACGCATTGCAGTCGTATTACAATATCTAGAAGGCGCCATGATGGTTTCGCAACGTGATCGAAAAGACGGTTGCGCCGTCTGCTGTTTCCGTTTCGTCTGTACCGTCATCCGTGGCGGGAAATTTCAATTACATATCAGTGAAACACGTATACAAATTTCGTTTTTGGAAAAAACTTAAGTCGATATTTGTTCTTATTTTAAGGCCGTCTTAAGTAATGTTTTGAAATATTAATATGCGGCTTTGACTGATATTCATATTTGATTGTTATATTTAAAGGGTCCTCTACATAGAAGTAGTAGACGGTCGTGGAGTCTTAAGTCGTAGGAAACTGACCAATTAGAATCGAGTATTCTCCTTATATTTGATTGTGATTGGTTGGTTTCCTACGACTTCTAAGGACCCTTAAGACTATCTTAAGTACAGTCTTAAGATGTCGTGAACTAGTCAGAGCTGTATTAGCATCTTAAAAAATGTCTTAAGAATTACTTAAAATATGATTGACGATTTTGAGACTATATTTAAAACGGCCTTAAATATCTGGAGATACAGGTAGTGTCTCGGCGCTAAGCATGGCGCGAGACACTGCTGTGCCTCCTTTAAGCTCGCGTTGATTTCAAAATACAAGCTTCAGATTGTCTGTCGCAACAAACTTACGATCGGTTTGCGTCTAATGTAGAATGGACTTCACGCGAACCAGCGAGTTGCGTCGAGGTTATCGGATTTCAATAACGGCTGTTAAGAACTAATTATGAATGCTAAGATTTATAATTTCTGAGCATTGTCTTGAAGTGTGTTTACATTCTGATTCACACATACAGACTTCTTTTTAAATAGAAATAGAAAAAGGAAGACGTGAACATCGATACATATCAATATGTTTAGAATTACAAATTTTGGAGTACTAATTTAGTGAAATGTAGAATTTTCTCAGAAAAAAATTAAGAAATGTATTATGGAATATAAGATATTAGAATCTTATCCCTTTAAAGGATGGTATATAATTCAGAATTTTTTTAGTAAATTAAGGAACTTTTTAAATTGCTTCTTTTTTAAAAATTGGGGATTTAAATCCACACACACGAACAAGTTCTCTCAAATCTCTTCTCGTAATTTACCCACATATACATATATATAATTGCATATTGAAAAAATCCGTCCGAATTTTTTCTGTCAATATATGACGCTATTGTTCTGTTTTCAGCCGCTATGATGTTTTATCATTACATCAAGATTGTCCCGACGACGTACGTTCGCGCGGATGGTTCAACCCTCCTCACAAATCAGTTTTCCGTAACGCGACATTCGAAAAAGGTATCCCTGCTCACTGGCGAATCTGGGATGCCGGGTATATTCTTCAGCTACGAGTTGAGTCCGCTCATGGTAAAATACACGGAGAAGGCAAACTCGTTCGGACACTTTGCGACGAACACTTGCGCGATCATTGGCGGTGTGTTTACTGTGGCCGGTCTGATCGATTCGCTGCTCTATCATTCAGTGCGTGCGATACAAAGGAAGATAGAATTAGGAAAGTACAATTAAACACTTTGAGTCTGGATGCAGCAGCATCGATTATCCTATTCCGATCCTAATTTTGTTCTTTTTTCATTGATAAGATCGTGTTCAAATTTCGGAATGTAAGTATCGTCTTCAAATAAGCGAGATATGAGTCACTGAAAATGGATTGGAATTAGTATTAATCGTTGATGACGCGACACGGCCTTAGATGGATAATCAGATTAACTAGGATTAATTAAAAAAAAGTATTATTAAAATTACTCGATTTTCTATTGGAGATCGAATTTTCTGGACAATGGTGCATTTTCATTGCACCGTTTTTATTCAGTGTGACTATTTTCATCTCGTTTATATTAAAAGTATCTCATATTATTGAATGATACTTAGCATTATAAGTGCAATTGAGAATACTTTACAAAATACAAAGTATCTTTTTCATACGATGTAAAAAAGAAATTATACATAACTTATTAATATAATGATAAATGCTTTACTTTTTATTTAAAGCCGATAATTTTTTAGTTTTAACGATGTAAAAACCTATTTATATGTGATGTACATAAAAACCAGTAAAATATATAAAAGCCTATTGAATTCTCATGGAAACAGGAATATCACTTTCATAAATAATTTGAAAAAGTATCTTTTAACATTTATTTACATTTATATTATAATTAAAACGTTTTGAGAAATGCATTGTAAACATCAACAGACGTCTTTGCGATATCTCTACAGAAGTCAATGTCTGTACCGCTGACTAAGGTCAATGGTGAAACATACATTGGTTTAGAAGGATCATACTGTGCCTTTTTCATTTCCACCAGAAACAAATGTCTTTGTTGAAGTCTAGTTTTTCGACAAAGTAAAATTTGTGGCATCCGCGTAATAAAATCATGCTGCAACTGCATTTCACTTTGAGCATATTCGAACGTACTTAGCAATCTGTCACGATCTGAAAGCACAATTTACGAGAAGGTCAGTATAAATTTATTCACGAATTCTAAAATTATGTTGCTGCATGCGCTTACTCTTGATCCATAGCCTAGGCAGGGTGAGAAGCAATTTCTTCACTTGCACCTGATCAAAACCCATCTCCTCCCTTATACTGAACGTGTTTTCCATTAGATGCACCATCCTAAATGTTACTACCTTAGGCCCCTTGACTGTTAGCTTTCTGATTTCATTGCCCTTGAGCTTGAAGTTGCTCTGGAAGTAACCGAGCCTGCCATCTATATCCTTTGTATTGAACGAGAGCCACTTGGGATTCTTGCAGATTATCGTCTTTATCATCGACACGCTAAACTTATGAGCCCTTAAGTATCTTATTCTCGTGTGCAGATCGTCTATGTCCTCCTTGAAGATGTTTGGATTCTTTGTAATGAATGTGCCTAAGTCATCGGCAGGTACTCCGCAGTCATGCAGGAATCTTATATATGGTTTCACGTCTCGATCGAAGTCGAGGTTCAGGATATACTCTACCATCCCTTCTTTTGCCTCAAACTTGTACAAACTGACTCCAAGGTCTACCAGCTTCTTGATTGTGTGGGACTTGTTCGCATATTTAGCGAAACTGAAGGTTGGAGTAAGAGGCGGACCAATGTCTGACAGGTCTTCGGTACAAACGTCCAGGGGATGCGGCAATTTTATGTCACTATCATCTAGATAGTCCTCGTGAGCAAACGAAGCTATGTTTGTATTATTGTTCAGGTTAGGTCGCGTTTCCAGCGCATAATTTTCATCCTCAGTCTTTGGTGCTTCTGACAAGACACTCGATTTAGAAGAGGCTGTCTCGACGTCTCTTTTGAGCTCCCTCGACACGCATTGTCTCGACCCACCGCTTTTTGAGACAAATCTAATTAAATCTATCGCGACCGGTCGTGCCGTCGACACGAGTGAGCAACAACGTTGAAACATGTTCGATTCTTGTCAGTTCTGTCACCACATCAGCGTCAAGTAATTTAAATTAAATACCGTCGAATTGTTGAATATCACACACTTTTGCTAAAGAAAAACATTCTTATAATTTGTCATTTACAGATACATGCTGTTACAAAAAAGAAACAGTGCAGCCATCTTTTAAATCCAAGCTCCCCTAGTATTTAAGGAGTGAACTACATAGCTACATTTGTGAATTTTTTCGATGGATAATACAGTTTTGGTTTCTCGGGTGTTCAATGTTATTTAGGATTACATTACAAAACGTCCTCACCAAAAAAATTTTATTTGATACACAGGGTGTTCATAAGTAACGATAAAACTCTCGCATAGAGATAAAGCGGAATAAACTGAGTCGGAAAGTCTACTATTTTACAATTTTTGCAATAGTTAACAAGATATTAAATACTAAAAACCGCCGAATATTGGTTTTTATTACTTTTTTACTCAAGTACTATCAAAACTTTACAGAAAAACAGCAAGTGACAAATGTTTATTTTTCTTCTCATAGAATTCTGAGAATTTTTTCAGAATTTTTTAGTATCGCATTTTCTCGTGTTGGTAAAAATAGTTGCCAATAAGAAAATGCAGTACTAAAAAATTGACAAAAAAATTCTGAAAACGTTCTTAGAGCTCTATGAGAAGAAAATAAACAATTTTTATCTCTTGCTGTTTTTCTGTAAAATATATATATATATAAATAGTACTTGAGTAAAAAATTATCGGAAACCAATATTCGGTGATTTTTAGTAATTATAAATATATTTATATATATATAATTAGCACATATTTAAATAATAAATAAAATATATGTTAAAATAGTACATATATCTTGTACATTAAAATACTCTGTATAAAAAGTTAGAAATACGTCGGACTTCGATCCTCAAATCGTAAAGTGGGTTTAAAAAATAATCATGATCAGGATGTCTATAAAATGTAATTATAACTGAAAGTTATTACCATGATTGTCTAAGATTGATTGTCTTAAGCATGCCAATAGTACTTCGTATAGCGATAACAAATTTGTATCGCGTTTGCATGAGTCATCTGTAATGATACGTAGGAAAACATATAAAAACGAATCCATACACACTCAAGTACATTTAATAAGATTTGCAATTTGCCGAGTCAGCGTTACGAAAGGAGGGCGAATGAAGAATGCGACAGAAGAGCAAAACGCGAGACTTGTATGAACAAATACTCTTTTATTATCTTAAAACGATTAAACGCGTTATATTAAATATAAAGGCGGCAAAGTAATGCGCTTTGATTTACATCAATATACAATATACAATTGAAAACAATACAACACACCACACCCTGGGACATTCTATATTCCTTCGTCAAAATCGTGAAGCACGACTCGTAGTCGTGGAAGGCTGTTACCTGCACTTGCAAAACTCACGCAAAATTTCCTCGCGCATACACACACACTCACACAGATGTTATTGTGTTATCTGGGTCCTTAATTAATGCGTTATGTCTCTTTACAGCGGAGCTATTACAGTAAAAGTGACGTGCCTGCGCTATTTTATGTAATAAGTACGTTAATTACACATATTAAGAACACTTTGATTTTCACGATCAGTGTCTGAATATCAAAACAATGTGAATAAACTAGTGGAATGTTCTTTATGGGCAACCTCGACCAAGCTCCGATTAATTGCCTCCGGCGGTATTATGATGAATGTATTAAATGCAATTTAGTTCATAAGCAGAATCATTAACTTTTTTTTCCATTTCCGCTGCATTTCACGTTAAAAGAAAAATTAAAGGTCACAGGTGCTATACTAATTGCATAATACAATAGGATATTTTTCTGCTAGGCAATTAGTCGCTGATTATAAATAGATAATATAATTACAGTTGCTAAAAAAATGATAGCTATGACTACAGTTTGGTCGAAGTCGGCCTTAAATGGTAAGACAAGAACAAGCACGTTGCTTGCCGCATTGCCATGCTCCTTCTGCGTAGTTATTGTTCGTAGCACGGCCGATTATCTATCATCAATCCAGTTGCGTTTCGCGCATCAAACGGTTTAATTCCATAAAATCGTTGTGTGTAATACGGCACGATGTCGGGAGGTACGTTCTAACGGAGAGTTTGACTAGGCAACTCCGACGTGGATTATTGTTCCGATAGTACCGATGTATTGTTCTATTTATTTTCCCCTCCCTTTTCTGTTGCGCAAGTTTTCGCGTGTAATATCAAACTGGCTAATCGGCGTTTCACGGTCGAGTTCAGAACGATTACCAAGTCGACGATGGCTAAGAATACACAGCGCTCTGTGAAATCTAGCTGTAAGTCGACGTAAATATAATCCTAGCGATTCTCTCTTGTCCTTAAATTAAATAGCACATATGTCTTGCACTCTCGTTCCGCCGCGTGTTATGACTAGATTTTCGGATCTTCACTCGTGTTTCAGTCGGGCAGCCGTTATCTCATTCGTTGCCTCGCCGTCCGACTGGCGAGGTCGAGCAGCTGTTCTCACATTTGCCGCCTCACCGTCCGATTGGCGAGATCGGGCAACCGTTCTTTCGTTCGTCGCCTCACCGTTTGTCTGGCGATTTATGGCTTTTTACAACTGGCCTGAAAGGTTATAACATTATATGCACATGTCGAACTTTTAGAATGCGTATTCGTTCAAAATCAAATCTCGAAGCTAATTTAGCTAATATACTCACCACCATGATCATGCAGTTCATTAAAATGGGCACGGAGAAAACGACGGATATAAACCAGCCTTGTGAATCGAAGTACTGCTGTCTAGAAAATACCCTGTGAAAGTTGTCAAGGAGATTATTAAAAAGAAAAACCTAGAGGAATAAAGAGAAAAGAACCGCTTTGACAAGCCACGGCCGCAATTGAATACGTACATCCAGTTTGTTGCCGCAACCTCGTTAATACTTTCTGAGAAATAAACCAGGAGTACTGAAACAGAAACAGAGTTTGTGGTAACATTGCGGTAACTAGGTAAAAACGGTAAATTACAGTAGACTCTTACAGAGCACGAGAAACAGGATTATCTGAAAATTCGCATGGTTCCTTGTCATTAACGCGGTCATTGTGACGGCAATATGAAAAGTCAATAGCGCAGCTAGCCATGGATCCCTCCAATCGATCTGCAACAATGTATCCACACAAAATACATTAATAGCATTTAACGAAAAAATAGCAAGTGTTGTTATTGTTATATTAAAGAGTTCTTTGTGATATACTTACAGCTATATTAAAGAGTTCTTTAATACAGTTGCAAGACTCTTTAACATAACTGCAAGATTTTTTAATATAACTGAGCAAGAGTCTTTGATATAATTAGTTTTTGCATTTATACATACATAGTTCCTCAATAAATCTAAATATATGAACCAATCTCATTGAAGAATCTTACAACAGTTGCAAGGCTGCTTTTTCTGCTAAACGCAATGCTTTAATCTGAAGTAAATGAAACTGACATCGAAACCTAATCTTTAAATAGGAAAACTGTGCTATAATCTTATCTCCCAAAATATCCTTTCACTATGCTTAGCGGAGCTGCAAGAGCAAAAGGAGCGTAGGATAAGGTCCATTCCAATTTTGAATATGATATAATTCTGAACAAAACAAGATTTAGACCGAGATATTCATACTCGATTCTTATATTTAAAACTGTCTTAAGTACAATTCTTAAGATGTCATAAACTAGTTAGAGAGCTGTATTAGTATCTTAAGACATTAAGATAGTTTTAAAATAAAAACTATTATGAATACCAATCTTATCTAATTTCGAAGTTCAAGCATGGCAATCCTAATTTCATTGTGTGGAATGTACAAAAGGCATCACCAAACAGGAAAAAACTAAACTTAAAAATTAGATTGCAGGTTAAAAAAGGAACATTAAAGCCTACACTGGTTCTTGGTGTGATAAAATTTTTCTTTTTAAGTAACTACTTAATCATAAATATTACAAACATAAACGTTTCAACCTTCTATTAGGTCATCTTCAGTATGTACAATAAGTTTCAATTTCTCTAATTCTCGCTTATAAACTAATTTTTTTATAAAAACCTGGTTGATGACCTAATAGAAGGTCAAAACGTATTAATTGAAAGAATCAGTGTAGGCTTTAATGCTCCTTTTTTAACCAGTTGATTTATTCTGTAAACCGATACAATTATATATTGTCAAAAATTAGATTTAAATTATTTCATTCACTTAGAATATTGCACCGTGTTCGAAATTGTAGCATCTTATCCCACAATACATGCTTCTTGCTCCTCCCCCCCCCCCCTCTCTCCCTTCCCTTATCGTTTTAACGATTTTATTACTCGCACAAGGTAACCTTGCGAAGAAAGGATTGAAGAAAACATTCGAAAGAACGGCGCGCGATAACCGTTTAAAAATATCCAGAGAGATTCTGGAGACCGAATTACGCAGCATTTTCGCGAGGGACCGCACGAGTCTCAACGGCAGGATGCCCTTGAGAATAAAGTGTGTCCATGACGAAAATAGAACGCCGATATAATCGGCAATTTTTCACCGTCACCTCCTCGTCCAGGACGATAAAAGGAGGTCGCGGTATCGGCGGAAGCCGATTGATTTCTATTCACGCTTCCCGTCTAATTCGCATCTCGTCGCGCACGCGACGCCGACGATAAGATAAAGGACACGTGGATAGATCTTAATTCAAGGCTCGGTGTATCAATAATGTATACATAACGCGAAATGTTCAAACGGCCGGCGCCGCCGGCCGCGTCGAAAACGAAAGTTGCCGGAGCGGCGAATGTGAATTACACGCCGTCGGTCTGCAGGAATCTGGAACGTGAGGATGTCGTATATATTGATATACAGAGTAGATAATATGCAAATATTACACGTATTGCATGATACCCGTTTCTACCTGTTTAATTTTAATCTTGATTCAACTAACTCTTCTTTACTAATTCGGGGAATTAGAAAAAGATAAAGCAATGTCCGTTTATTTTTATTCCATGTAAATTAACTTTAATCTCGATTCAACTTGTACTTCATCTTTTTTTAATTCTAAGAACTTGTATTTCACGTTTTTCTAATTCTTAGAATTAGGGAAAGATGAAGTACACAAGTTGAATCAAGATTAAAATTAATTTATGTTGCTAGAAACAGGTATTAATGACACGAAGTTCGTACGATTTATGCTTTCATTTCTACCAATGTATAATATAAATTTTGATTTTAATTTTTTGGTTTATTTTTTTATCCTTTTCTTAATTCTTTACTTTATTTATATGCACTTATTTCCACGTTTGATTTCTACTTTTACATACTGTTTTTGTTTTGCTTTCTAGCTCTCATTCTTAGAACTAGAAAGAGATAAAAAGTAAGTTAAACCAAGATTAAAGTCAGTCTATATTGATAGAAACGTATTAATGGAACTGTATATGAATTTAAGTTTGTATAATGAGAATGTGTTTGCATTTGTAGTGAATTTAAAACGGAAATTCAGAACGAAAAGGAGTATATTTTCATGATGAATTGTGCGACAGCGCATAAATTTCCATTCTAAATCGTACAAACATACATTCACCTTCACCTTCAGTGAATCGTATAATTTTCACGTTCGTTGTCTGTGTAGGTTTATGTTTTTTTTTTTCTTTTGACGGTGTGTTCAATGATTCCTTTTCTGAATTATAAGCCGAAATCGTTACAGAAAATCTGTTTTTACTCGCGTCTCGCGTTTAATTCCCTCGTACTTCTCTGCTCTTCTATTCTTATCTTTCAATCACGAGATACAACGTCTGCTCTAACTTTTCCTCACTCTTCCTCTTCCGTATCTTTTCTTCTTTTCCCTCTTCCTCCAAATTTCGCGAATAATACATTTTTAATGATACGATGATAATTTAAAGCTTAAATAAATTACAGATCAAAATAAATTAATTAAAAGATTTAAATTAATTATTAAATTAAAAAGGTATTACAAATAAAAAAATGTTAAAGATCTGTACGAACCAAAGATAATTGTTTAATGCTAAAAGCACTGAACTAAAGTATTAAACTATTAAAAATAAATAAAAAATTAAAAACTACTAAATAAAAACTATTAAATTAAAAAACTATAAAACTATTTTTAAAAACTTTATATTAAAACTACTAAATAAAAACTAAAATTATAAAACTATTGAAAAAATTAAAGTTGTTAAACTACTATATAATTCTAGCAAAACAACTAGCTTTGATTCTCTATAGCTCTTTAATCAATTTTTTTTATTTGTAATACATTTTTAATTTAGTAATTAATTTAAATGCTATACAAAAAGCATAACAAGTCCGATTAAAGAGGACTGTAAAAAGCTTTTGGCTGATGCAGAATCCCGACACGATGTATCTCCCTGAATCACATGCGTAATCCCGATTACGATATGAACGAGTGTAACTGGCTCGAGAAGATGAGCGTCTTATATATATATATATA